TAAAGGGCGATTGTCAAACCAAGACGCCGAAAGTCCCACCGCCAATGCCAAACTCAAGGAATTGGACCGCTTTGAAGAGATGATAACAAAGATGAGTCCTCGAATGGACGATCAAAGGAGCCCAAGGAGTTCTTCGAGGGTGCTGGTGCTGTCTCCGACTTCGTAGTGCTCGGGGTTATGCGCAGACGCAAGAAATGGTTGAGATATACCCAAAATAGTAATTTAAGTATAGTAGAATACACCAGCATAACAAAAATAAAACTGAAAAGTATCTTAAAGATTTTTGTGGAAGTTATGAGACTGTTCGAGATGTTTCGTCTCGATGTGCCAAAGTAAAAATGAAACAGCGTCTCCTTGAAAGACAGCTAGTTCCGAACAGGCTCTGGAACATAATTGCTTTCTCTTATGAAACGCTGCATTATGTTATATTATGTGGAAACTCAACAAAACGCTGAATAAGATGCCTTTGCCACATTGCGTCCATCCCAAGAAAGTGTTTGGGAATTGACAAACCGTCAAAGTGGAATGGTTCGAGCAGCAGCTCTAGCACATATAGTCACGGTTAAATTAGGGAGTACTCCTCATATAGTTCAGCGCGTGTGTTTGGGGTGGACAACAGCTCATCAATACACAAACACCTCATCAATACACACAGGTTTTTGCGGGGCATGTCAGTGTATACCACCCGGCCTAAGTCGAAACCTCAGTGCAAATTTATCAGGCACGTGCTGGGTACTAGACTTGGATATTCTCCGACGCCATTTGGATTGATTGGAAATTTTAAAAACTCATATTTGCAAGGGTTTCAGTCGAGGCAGTCGCCAATTCCCAAATCACCAACCTTGTATCCCAACTGCTTAGAAAAACGCCACCAAATAGTCAGTATGAATCCAGTGCACGCTGGACTGCCAGAGTATATATGGACTACCGTTCACGTCTCTGCGCTGGTGGTTATTTTCTTTTCGATGGTTGGTTCTGGGACGATTATTTACTTGAGTGTTCAGCAGTATCGTAAACAGAGGTGAGTGTCGATGAAGATTTTTTCTTGTCTGTGAGTGTCTTCTTCCTTGTTTCAACGTTTGAGCTGCTCCACCATGTAAATACTCATACCGAATCATTCTATCACCAAATCTAGGTCTTTTGGAATCAGCCAAATTTTCCCAGTGGCCCTTGCAATTGCTGATTTCACGTTTGGATTGTTTCATGGCGGTTTGTCACCTCTTTGCCAGGGCTCCGCTCTTAATGCCATCAGAGCATGACGCTCAACCCAATGTTCTTAGGCGATCACTTAATCTCACTTGTTTCGACGAGAGTTCTTGATGGTGGAGCTTGTGTCTTCTTTGGACTTGGAACTGGTAAGTGGCAGTGTCCTTTGAGAATGGTTCGAGCAGCGATTTTCTCTCTTGTAACGCGTGTCTTACTTTTATCGAGTCTATTCAATGCTGCTTCCCGCCTTCTGGGTATCGGCTTGTAGTATTTACGTGTTCTCCATGATTCGAATGAGTAGGTTCATCCTAACTTATTGAATGAGAGAGGAAACAATGTTGATGCCCCAATATTTATAGTCTACGTTCCAAACTTTGGCAAGGGAAACTGGATGCTGCATTTAGCTTGCTGGGGAACTCCTGCATTGATATGTATTATTGCTTTGGGGCAAGGACAATTTGGGTCCGAACCTATGGTATTTCAAACAATTTTTAATCTAGTAGAAGCGTTACAAGTTTGTAACCTTTCATTCCCATTTTAGTGGTGAGATTCTATTATCTACTCAAAAACGTAGCGTGTCTTCTAAAAGCCCGGCGAATATAGGTGTGGTCTCCCATCGACTCTGTGGATTTATCTGGTAATGGAGCAGACGCTCGGTTGAACCTTCTCAAACGCTCTCCTCTCATTTTCAACTTGTTCTATAGGCCCCATTTGTACTCGGTGGTCTCTGTATCTCAGCCTTCTGCTACGCCTTTGTCTTTATGAAAATCATGAAGTCGCACAAAATACTGAGCAAGCTCGGCGCCGTTGAATCCAAAGAAGCACGCAGTGTGTCTGCCTCATCGCCGCACCCAACAGTCAAACCACACCGCCAATCAGTCGCTCCATCCGCAGACCAAAAAGTCATGAAGGCTGCACGACATTTACCCATGTTTGTAATCATCTATGTCGTTCAGTGGATGCCATATGCAGTATATGCTGTCCTTTTGGGTGTTGGCATATCACCTCCGTGGCAGTACGATTTGTTTACCGTTATTACGGTTAATTCTGGTGGCCTTTGTAAGTCTTTCAATCAAATCTCCTTTTCGGCATTGGTTGCGAGTAAGAAACAACATACTGACCAATCTTCTATCTCAACAAGGCAATTTCTTTGCCTACAGACGCATGCTGCAGGCACAAAAAAGCAATACAGATAGCCATCAAGGATCAAAAATGCCTCCGCCTCTGAACGACGCAAGATCGATATCGGTTATCAGGTCACGAGCTGATTATGGCCATTCATCGATCAATGTACTCGATGCTGCTTGACACTCATTCCAGTCTCTTTGTGAGGATATAAACCGTGCGCAATTCTTAATAATAAACAAAACCGGTGGTAAAAATGATGTGTTTTCAAAAGCAGCCTTTGTCGACAGGTTTTTTCTATTCACATAGGGCTCAAAACAGTACCTAAGGGTACAAACAGGGTTTTAAAATAGCGCGAAGCTTGTCAAGCGGCCGCGGAGGTAGTTGGGTGTTTGTCTCATCCGATTGCGTCCACCACGATCTCATCATCATAAATTTGGAGAACTGATGAGCTCCAATGTTTACCGACACTAACGCATAAAATATTGATAAGAGACAAAACTGACTATGTTACCAACACCTTCAAATGCCAGGCCTTGATGACTCGAGGATCCGAGGAACTGTTTGACCTCCTCGCCTGCTGTTCTGACGGACGCGTACTCGTCAATGGCGGCACCTCTTCGTAGAGAAAAATGGATCAATGAAAGGATACTCAAAGATGGTAAACTTTCCGCCTTGGATTTGAGCGTGTCGGAATACTCGGGTTTCACCCCAAATCCCCTAAAAGATTCACACCCTCAATTTGGGCACTTGACGAACTGTACGGGAACAGAGGATCTGAACTACACATTTGTGAGCAAATCCAAAGCGTTCGTTATCAACGAGCGTGTTGTGAACGAGGAACGACTGAAAGCTCTGTTCCCAGAGACACCAAAAACACGTTCTGTGTATTGTCAAGGGGTTTTGGACGGATAGCTAAGATCACGTCCGCTATATCTCTGGTTTGATTTTTGACAACTTTGAACTATGCCCAACATGAACCCAACGTTTGCTGGTTTGGAGCCATACATTTGGACGAGTGTCCATTCCTGTGCGCTCGTGGTGATTTTCATGTCAATGACTGGCTCTGGTACTATTATGTGGATGAGTTTTCAGCAGTATCGTAGACAGAGGTAAAAGTTTTGCACTCATTTCCACCTCTCGTCAATGCAGCTCACGAAAAGGTTTTGACAATCGATTGTTTTTTTCTTCAACTAGATCATTAGGAACAAGTCAAATCTTCCCAGTGGCTCTTGCAATTGCCGATTTTGCTTTTGGATTGTTTCATGGCGGTATGTGAGATGTTTGTCTAGCATAATGCACCATCTCTGTTAATTTTTGCGCAGAGACACGGAAGGCTAATTGTTCTGTTTTAAGGTGATCATATCATTTCGCTTGCGACTTCGAGGGTCCTTGATGGTCCTGCATGCACTTTCCTAGGATTGGGAACTGGTGAGAGTGAATGATTCTGTCTTGGTTAAAACATTGCGCTTTCAGACGCACGACTACAAGAATTCTTTTTAGTATATACAATGTTATTGCCAGCGTTCTGGGTGTCTGCGTGTAGTATCTATGTGTTTTTCATGATCCGAATGAGTAAGTCAAAGCATATATGGCAGGTGCATCATTATTCTCACACAGCTGACTTTATATAGTCTGCGTTCTCAACTTTGGCAAAGGAAACTGGATGCTGCATTTAGCCTGCTGGGGAACTCCAGCCCTAATTTGTATCATCGCGTTGGCACAAGGTCAATTTGGGTCAGAACCTATGGTAAGTCATAGTTTTCCAATTTGACTACTAAATGTTTGCCACTTTGGTAACCTTTCTATCTCCATCTTAGTGGTAAGAATTTGATGATTATGCTCTACGTACTATGGTTGTTCTCTAAACAGGGTGTCGACCTTTCAGGTGTGGTCTTCCGACAAGCTTGTGGATTTACCTGGTAGCTATCAACATCACATCCCTTCACGAATAGCCTGAAAGTCTCCTGTTTCATAACACACTCTTTTCGATTAGGATCCATACATCTTCATCGGCCTATGCATCTCGGCATTCTGCTACTGTTTCGTCTTCCTTCACATCATGAAAAGCGCCAAAGCCATATCCCGGTTTGGCCATGCATCTGCCGAAGGTCAAAGCTCGTCTTCCCCACATCCAGTCAAGCCAACGAGAAGCTCCGTCGCTGCTTCAGACCAGAAACTACGAAAGGCAGCACGTCACCTCCCTCTCTTTGTCATTATCTACATTTTGCAATGGATGCCATATGCCGCGTATTCGGTCATGCTGGGTCTGCATATGGCTCCTCCGTGGCAGTACAGTCTTTTCGTGGTTATTGCTACGAACTCGGGTGGGATTTGGAATGCAATGGCTTATTCGCGATTGATGAAATCGTCCAAGGAACCTACGTCCCAGTCCATAGTCAAGAGACACAGTTTTGGCAGTGCAGCGTCGAAACGGCCGGTCGCGGATATCCCCAATGCATCAATCGTCAAGACATGTGTCGTTCAGAGCAATGATATAGAGAATGTTTGATGCCTAGTTTTTTGTATCATATTGGTAACAAGGCTGGTTTGGAATTGGATGTGAGTGGTTTAAATAACATGAGATTGATTGAGTTACAAGTATTACAAAAGAATGGTTGTTATAGTCGTTTTTTGGGGAGGAGTTGTTTGAGAGGCACCTGTTCAGACTATTTGACACCGTACTTGAGCTTTGCCAGCAAATCAGTCAGCCACGGTGCGACAGCCGAGAGAAGCATTACTAGCTTATAGAACTAGAAACAAAGTATGAGTATTGGATGTATCCCTTCAAATCCAGGTAAGGTAAACGAGCACATACATAAGGAAACACCACCTCTCGGGACCGGGAATCAGCTGCACCAACAATCAGCTTTGCGGCTGACTTTGGAGTCACCTTCGACGGCTCTATCTTCGTTGTCATTGACGAACTGCTGGTTCCGTACGCTAAATCCAGTGCGTTTTCTCGAAAAGATGTAGCCACTGTTCCTGGCAGTGCTATTGTGACTGAGACTCCAGACGACTGTGTCTCAATCCTGAGAGATTTGAAGAAGCCACCTTCATACGAGCGGAGAGGTTTAGTGCAACAAGAATCGCGCAAAATCATCCATGCACATACTCAGGGCAAACTTTGAGCTGGCGTACAGTGCCCGTGAGGGAGCAGGTAGTTCGCCTGCTGTGCTAGATACGACCACAATTCGTCCTTTTGATTGTTTTAGGAGATCCAGTAGATACGAAGTCATGTATACAGGACTCTATATACAAATTCGGTCAGGGCAATGAGATGCGTACAGAGAGAGCAAGTGCAAGTTCTTACTAATACATTTGTCTTGACCATCTTCTCAGCAACTTCGCAAGCCTCGTTGGGAGACAAGTCCCCGAAAACTCGAATGCCCAGCACTCTTCATCGAAAATAAAATTGGGTTAGAGTGTGCAGTCTCAGCTTAGCATGGACTCTGTCGCCATACCCGACACAGAGCACCAACACATCACAACTTGTCAATTTGTCCCTCACAAGTTTGCAATTTGATTCGACTGTAACATCTAGCGGTAAAACATCTGCAGATATGCATCCTAGAGCTAGACATTCCTTTTGGACCTCTGTTAGCTTCGACAACGACCTTGATACAAGCAAGAGCTTTGAGCGTCTTTCCGCGTATAGTTTTGCGATTTCTCTGCCTATGCCGTCACTGGCTCCAATGATTACGACCTACGGAGGGGTTATATGTCAGGATTTCAGTAAATTCAGCATTGCGTGAATGCTCAAACAAGAGAGAATAAGCAATGCTCACAGTTTGGTCATATTCGATTGGTTTAGATTGCAGGAGGCGATAAAAGATGAGTGCCACCACAGTGGCTGCTATTCCTGAATAGATCGACATTTCTCCCACTATCTTGTCAAAACGCCGTCGGGTTTGTTCTGTTCAGGTGTTGAGTGTTTTGAGGTTTGGAGATTGTCACTTGTGAGTATATCTAGAGAAATAAGGTGAATCGCGTCTTATGTCGCGTAAATTCACGTAGAACCACAATCTGCGGAATTGTCTCCAACTAATTGTACGTGCAACGTCTAATCGTTTCTGAATTTTCTGACCAAGAAAGAAACATTGACACTGCTCAGAACTACTAAGTAAGTGAGAGAAAAGACGTGTGCAATCTATTATTCATGTATTTAATCTATGTAAAATGTATGAGATCTATCTGAACGTAACCCCATTCAACTCGTAGATCAAACTGAAAACTGAACATGTCTGTCACAGCGTGTCAAAAGAGCATCATCCAACAGATGACCAACTATCATAACTGGAACTCAGTGCAATTTCCATTCAACGTATGTGGTGACAAATCTGATGGTCGAGGTGTTACTGCGGGCGTAGGACTCTTCTCATCGTGAGTTCAATGTTCAATGTATAGTAACTTTGTGAAGCATGATACAGTACCCGGTTTCAACTTGTCATCTAGATCTACACAGGATCTGTATGCTGTGCTAAAGACATACGCAGCTTCCGTCAACACAACCGTCTTCACCCCATTTGCATCATACATGCCAACACTGTCCACACTGGCTTCCGAAACGGATAACTCTAACTCGACTGTTGGGCTCGACAACTTTTGCATTGCATGGAATGGTGCCTTGTCGGACAAGTTGTTTGGGAATGCGCAACTGCAAACATTAGAGGACTGGTATTGGTTGCCAGCATTGCAATATTGTAGTGATCTAGGACTTGTTAGTATGCTGAGTCGCGCTGCTATCTATGATGCTCTGTAAGTGTTTTCTCGAATCGCTGTATGTTGAGCAGACGAGTATGTTACTGTTCCTTGCGCATCCCTAACCACAGTTCCTCCTAGCGTCATGCACGGATACGGAACGAGCCCCGACTCATTCGCCGCCATAGTGTCAGCAAGCGGATCTCCACCTTCATCATCAGACATTCCAGAAAACGTCTGGCTCAAAAACTTTTTGACCGCTCGTGCCAACGTCTTAGCAAATCCTGTAGTTCATCCAATCGCATGGGCTGCCACCAGTTGGAGGATTAATTCCTACTTGTACTTGTTAAACGCTGCAAACTATGCTCTGAATCAGTCGGTGGTGGTTGACTCAAACAACTTGACTATACCAGTTTCTTGCAGGTTGACTATATACGGAACGTGGAGCCCAGCAGTTTCAACGGCTGTATCATACTCGGCAGGCACAATAGTGGCGATTATTCTATCTTGTATGGGCATAATTGCAACAGTACTAGCTGGCTGGTATGTATTTGTTTAGAATTTTTTTGTCTGTGCAGACCTGTCAGATCCCAACGATCTGTTTTTCATTAGGTGGTGTTGCAGGAGAGCCAACTCTTTTGGCCTGCTCGAACAGGACACAATACAAAAGGACTAAGAAAAGCAACTTTCTGTTTGACTGCAAGTAGACGAAACTGAATCATCGTATAAAGTAAATTGAAATAACTTGATTCCTGACTCTTGAAAACTCACTGCGATTTTTGTACGGTTAGTAGAGCTTGTAAATTTCAAACCCTATAAATACTGCTGTCTCCAACAGAAACGCCGTGCAAGTTACGTTACCACAGTCCCAGCATTTTTTAGAAACCCTTCCATGCCGGCGTCTGGATACGATGTGTTCTCTCAGATTTTACATGGCCACATTTGTGGATGTCAGAGTACCGATTTCGATACGCACATCAAGAATTGGTGATGCTGGTATCATATACTTGAATACGGCGACTAGGTCACGATTCTCTAATCAGCTCAAGGTATGCAAAAGATCTGATCCTCTATGAATATTGGTTCGTGTTAGTTCTTCAGTTTATTAATTTGTTTTGTCTCGTTTGCGTACAAAATTCATCGCACAGTACCATTGTTTGAACGAGACGATCTGGCTCGAAATTTATATCTCCTGACCGTGGGTTGTCGCCGCTGGTTTGGCTGGTTGATTTTGAAATTACAGATTTCCGTAATAGCGTTTCGTATGCGTTCATAAGAAAAGAAATGCATTTGTAAAAATACCCTGTCATCAGATGCAGACACGTTCGAGAGGCATTTCCCTGATGAAATACAGCAACGAACTACACACAGCTGTACAAGAAGTTTGAAAAAGTAGACGAATCAATGTTTAAGGCCGGAAAACGGAGTGCAAGAGTCTTGACTGGGAATTGCGGCATTTCACAGCCAGAAATCAATTTTAAAATTTTGCTAGTTCCAAGAGCTCAGCTCATTGTAGGGATAGAAGCAAAGTGATTTATTTCGTATTTAAAACACGTCAAAATAAAGTTCTCATAGCTATCTAAGGCTCGACAATTATGCAATAAGGGCATCATCCCAAATAGTCGGATGGTAGAGAGATTAAATCTCGGAAATCACGGAATCATCTAACCTAATTGCTTTAATCGTAGGATGCTCAAAGTTGATAAACTTCCCTTAGGATTGGCAGTCTCACTGCAAAAATTCACAGCCTAGTCCCCTTAAAAGATTCAAACACCCTCATTTGGAGGATTTACAAACTGTGATGGGACGGAAGGAAGAAGTCAAACTAACCGTTTGAGTGAATTTGAAACGATCTGCAACTGTTGTTGTGAACAAACCTGTTCCATTCATTGTTAGTTGGCGACGTGTTTCTCGTCAACGGTCGCCTGGGCTTGAATTGGACACTGCATCGTTTTGCTAGCCAGAGCTCTACATGGCAAATCTGAATCCATCGTTTGGTGGTTTTGAACCATACATTTGGACCACTATTCACTCCTGTGCGCTTGTGGTGATAGCAATGAGCATGACTGGCTCTGGTGCAATCATCTTTCTAAGTTTCCAGCAGCATCGTAGACAAAGGTATGTACACTCTGACTTTCGTTGTCGAGTTTAAACAGTTCACGAACGCATCTGATTCTTCATTTTACCATTTGCGAATAGATCTGTTGGAATCAGCCAAATCTTCCCAGCAGCCCTGGCAGTTGCTGACTTTGCCTTTGGAATTTTTCATGGCAGTATGTGGTCATCATCTCTTCTCTTATAACGGCAAAAGGCAGAACTGATTAGCTTTCTTTTTAAGCTGATCATATAATATCGCTTGCTCTGACAAAGGTTGTTTCTGGTCCTGTATGTACGTTTCTGGGATTTGGAACTGGTGAGCTACTGAATGATTGATGGTTGCTGCAGATCAAAGTTGTGCTTGACTAACGAAAACACACTGAGTAGTATATTCGATACTGGTTGCAACATTTTGGGTCTCTGCATGTAGTCTTTATGTGTACTTCATGATTTGCACGAGTAAGTAATGGCTTCGAAGTACCAGTCTGTCTCATTCCTCTATGTAGCAGACATTTACAAGCATCTACTCTAGTTCATGTTCCAAACTTTGGAAGAGGAAACTGGAAGCTACATTTTACTTGCTGGGGAGCTCCGGCTCTCATTTGTTTCATTGCGCTCGCTCAAAACGAATTTGGTTCAGAACAGATGGTATGTTCTTTGACTTTTGATTGTTCAGTAGTAAACATTGCAATTCGGTAACCTTGCTTACCCCGTTTTAGTGGTGAGATCCAAGCGATTTCTTGATGCATTCTACTCTCTTAGAATTAACCCTACTTTAGGTGTGGGCTTCCGACGTCCTTGTGGATTTACTTGGTATGAGAACCGTTTATCACTTTGAACACTTCTGATAAACTCTGGACTCATAATTCGGATAATTAGGATCCCTACGTACTGGGTGGTCTATGCATCTCATCATGCTGCTACTGTCTTGTCTTTATGCATGTCATGAACACTGTCAAGGCCATAGCCCAAATGGATCGTGCACCCGGAGAATCATGGATTTCAGCAACTCCATTTCCACAACACACCCCTGCTGCTAGCGTAACCCCAGTTCAAAAAGTCAGGAACGCTGCAAAACTTCTCCCCCTATTTGTCATTATCTATTTCTTCCAATGGATGCCATCTGGCATGTATGCACTCTTTCTGGCTATAAACCTACCTCCACCGTGGCAGTACCAGCTGTTTGTGGTTATTGCTTCCAATTCCGGAGGCATTTGGAATGCTTTGGCCTACCAGCGCATGTACGACGTCGTTAAGTGGTGATTTTGCTGCTAATGTTGATACTCACTGTTCGTCTTGCATGCTGTTAGGCTTCAACGCAGTAACAACAATGGCCGAACCAGCACCAGTGAAGGGTCGAAACAACCATTTAAGGACGTGGGCACTTCAGTAATCGTCAAAACCAGTGTCGTTCAGAGCAATTCCATCCTTGGTGTTTGAATATAGTTGGCAATAGGTCAGGAACAAAACCTCTAGACCTGATTAAAGTGCAAAAAAGCTGCAAAATACATTATCGATGAGATCCCCCATCAGTGTTTGGCAAAACGAGACAAGAACAAAGAGAGACACAAGCATTCAATATACACATAGTTCGTCAATTATGTCAGATACCCCGTACACTCGGCCATTGAACGAGGCTCGGAATCCCACAATCTTTGCCCCTTATCTTCTAATTTCTGAAACTGAGGCACGGAATTCAAAGGGTTCACAACTCTGGCATCGTTAAATCCAATTAGACGCAACTGTATTCTTTGAAACCACAGAGCACACAAAGGTTGAGAGAAAGGAAGAGACATGAAGCACAGAAAGAGTAGAATTAGAAAGGCTTCCAGCAATTGGTTCAAGCTATATAGACAATTGCGGCATGAAAAAAGATGAAAGCAGAAACTACAAAGTGCTCTCGTGTTGTATATTTATCATTGCAAGAAGGGTTGGGGCAAGTCACTACAAATGACCTGTCGTTGTATTAACAGACGTAAGGCCTCGAGTAAGCCTTGCGAAAAAGACGAATTGACTGTGAAGTGGTTTAGATAGTTTCAAATTGACGATAATCGCACTCATTTTGTATATGCAGGTACATTCAGCACCACTCAACAGGACATGAAATATCAAGAAGAAACGCTACATCGGCTGCCATTCACTAATCAGCACTCATCCGCTACACGTTCAAATTGTGTTCAACACAAGGCATGGGGCGAGACCACTATCCAGGCCGGCAAGCATGCACGGCATTATAAAGAGTCATGAGATATACCATTTAGGCCCTCCTGGAGTGTCACCTGGTGCAGTAATCGCGTAGAAAGTCGAGTCATCAGAGTCCATTGTTTTAACCCAAGGTGAGTGCTGACCCAGCAACGGATATCTGAATTGTTCATTTCAATTGATTTAAACGTATTACCCTTTATGATATTAGCTATGTAGCAATCTCTTTCTTGGACTCTTTTCAATGGCATCATCAACATCGCCGATACTGAAATGTCGCAGCCTCCCTCCCTGACCGAGCTACCTGTAGAAATACTGCTCAGGATTGCCACATATTTTAGCAAAACAGCCATCAGGAATGGCGCTCACTCAAAGCCACAAACCACGCTGCACTCATCTGCTCTTGTCAACAAACTCATGTTTGACATCCTGCTGCCGAGCTTGTGGTCGGAGGTGGAAGTCAACGATAATACGGACGGTGTAGCTTGTATTGTTGCCATGATAAACGAGAGACCCATTCCATCGTATGGCGCTAGTGCCATCCGGGTCCTCAAACTTGCTAACAATAGTGACCCACAAGAAACGGCCACTGTGGACTTTATAGTGTCTGTCTCAACATCAAATCTCTATAGGTTAGTGGAATTACTTGGCTACAAACAAGCTGGATGTTGGCTTGTCACTTCTCCGATCGTCCACAACCGAACTTTTCACGCGTAGAGACTATCACTGCCATAGGCTGGCCAAGAGATGTAATGAAGGAATTTCTGCCATCGCTCTCTGTATTGTCGTCTCTGGATATAAGCGAGGGGCCTTTCGATAGTGAGACCATCCGATTAATAGTAGCATGCTGGCCCAATTTGACCAAACTACATTTGGGCCCCCAGAAGAGTGTAAATCACGAATCATGGAGAGGTTTTGTGTCTAGCGTCTCTTCCGAAACTCAAGGATATTGATTTTGATGTAGAACAGGACTGTACATTGGAGGAGTTGAAGAGCTTCATTCTGCCACGTATCGCTCTGGAGGAGAGCACTGGTGGAAGTGCGAGATTGGAGTCTGTCGACATTGCAGGGTTTTATGTAGAGAACCAACTGCGCCAGCTGCTCCTGTTGACTCCAGAAGGCTTTGAGGTGTTTACTCCTCCTGATGCATGGGTTGTGAGAATGATGACGTTTGGTATAGATGCAGAGTTTGGTTTCCGGAGGAAAGGATGTACTACGAATACGAGGACGATGAAGAAGATTATGATGGTACTGAGACACACGAGGAAGGCGAAGGAGATGAGAACCATTATGATTGTTGTGATACAGGACGAAGAGGAGGGAGATGATAACGATTACGATCTTGATGAGATACTGGAGGAAGATGAGGGAGAATAGGAAGATTATGATGGTGCCGTTGATTAAATAAAAGTGATAGTGTTACGTCTAGAGCTTTGTATGGGTCATTTAAGAAATGAATTGAGATATTGATCATGAATATCTTCATAGACAAATTAACGGATTTAGAACTGAACTTGACTACATTCCTCAATTCTTGCCCCTTTTTTCCTCGCGTTAGAGTTTTAAGTCTTGAGCTACAAGACCTCCAAACATCAAAACCCCAAAGTTAGAATCAAGAGGAGAGCGAAGTAGCGCGTAATAATACGCCTGTAGATCTATATATTAGATGACTCAGAAAAAGAGCAAGAAGCAAACGAAACAGAAGCCAGCCAAAAAGGCAGCTGCATCATCTCAAAGTCCAACCCAAGATGCTGTTGAATCATCCGTGGAACTAGATCCAGTCAATCCCGACGATAAAGGTATGCTCTAAAATCCGATTCATGCTTAATTTTGGTTGCTTGCTATACTGCTTGTCTCGAAAACCGTACACCACATCACAATGCTTTGACAAGCAGCTCACATATTCACTCCCGTTCAATGCAGAACCAAAAGAGAAATCATGTCATCACGTAAAAGGAGGCGTGAGATGGATGAGAACGCAAAAGAACTTGGCAACCCGCTTGGAAAGGCCTGCTTGTAAACCGTGTCGTGATGCTCCTAAATCCAAGGATGCGGATGATTCTACTGCTGCAAAGGCCTTACCTGATATGCTGGTAAGAATGCATTGCAGCTGCCTCTTGCGATCAGCCAGTTTGATCTTTTCCAAAAAAAAAAAAACGCTGACGTATGCTCGTCACAATTAGTGCCTGTTTTGCGGTGACATCCTATGCAAAGAGCACGCAAACGCCCATCACAATGTGCAGGATCATAAAGTCTATTATAACTTGACAGATATGAAGGGGTATTGTTATCCATGTGGCAAGTCGTTGGACGCAAATTCCAAGCATCAGATCTTGATGGACGTTGATGCGTTCATCAAGAAGCAAAAGGATGGACCGGGTGTTGATAGTGTTGTTGAGAAGATGGGGCCTGCTGAACGGAGATTCCCGAATCAGCGTAGAGGTGAGAACATGCCCTCGTGTGGGTATATCAACTTAGGAAATACGTGCTTTTTCAATTCTGTTATGCAGGTGAGTTTGTCGTCTTGATAATCTGATTGCTGAAGCAATTCCGCAATACGAATGTAATATACGAACGGTTTTTGTGCTAGTGTCTCACTTGGACGACTCCACTATTTACTGAACTACAAAAGACGCTACTTCCGTCAACCACTACCGCAGCTACCGAATCGCATATACCGCCTCGCCCTGGTCCGTTAACCTCAGACCTCAATAACGTCATTTCAAGTGCTCGCAAAGAAACACTGTCTTCGTCACCGCTGTCTGTCAGCCCAGAACCCGTCTTCAGACATATGATCCAGCGATTCAAGATGTATAAGAGCTTCCGTCAGCAGGATTCTCATGAATTGCTTAGACGACTTGTTGATGCTGTTACAGAAGAGCAGTTTAAGGGGGTCGTGAGAAAGTCAGGTGCTGAGAGTCAAAAGTCGTTTGTGGAGGGGATATTTCAGGGTCGGTGGGCCTCTGCGATAGTGTGTGATACGTGCAAGAATGTGAGTTGTGGAGCTTTCCTAAATTGATTGATTTCTGTCTTTTTTTCTCACGCAACGCTTACGCGGTATAGTGTTCTCTCTCGTATGAAGAGTACATGGACATTTCACTGCCTATAATCAACAATGACATTCTTGAGGAACGTCGTGGCAAATCGAACAAGGTAAGAACTTATCATCAGGTAAATTTGACCAATACGTAAACCCGCAACAACCGCCGTTTTTTTGCAGAAGCCGCCAACACCACAAAAACTGAAGGGCAAAGGCAAGAAGGTCTCGGAGGCAATAGATACCACTGTAGGCACAGAATCAGCCAAAGATGACGCAGGTGATGGCACTGGAGTCATCTCATTATCCTCGTCGCAAGAATTGTCTTCTGAAAAGGCAGCCGACGAAATTTCAATGGAAGCCGTAGACGAGTTATCCGTATTAGCAGCCAAATCCCCATATAATACTCCGAAACAGCTTGCCATGATTGAGCACGTCATGCGTCCACTATCAGTTGCCAAGGAAGGCAATAATAGCAAGCCAACTTTAATGAAGGGTCTGTTGGGATTTATGGCTGTGGATGTCATGGATGGAGACAATAAACTCAACTGTGAACATTGTTTCAAGTTGAAGTATCCCGATTATGACAAGACGAAAGATGAGGATAACGCGGGCAGCATTCCAGTGGTACCAACTACGCCATCAGACATAGCCACGGACGATGCAGAACGAACTGATTCGTGGGTTCCTGTAGCAGCACATGGCGATACGGTTACTGATGATACCATGTCTGAGAGTCGAGGAACATCCACTCGAGGAATATCAACACCTGCTACTCCATCGGCAAGACCGATATCAGATTCCATGTCCCCACACCAACTAGATCGTCCATCGCCATCAGCTGAAGAAGACGTCGAAATAGTAGAGATTCCTGAAGATGATGATGCCATGCCTGTAGACTCACTAGTAGGATCGATATTCACAACCAAGGACGATGACGACGATAACGAAGTAGAAGTCGCCAAAGCCGTAACTCCAAAGAAAAAGGGTAAAGAATCTACTACTGTGACGAGAAAGGGACCACCACCAGTATTCACAACAGGAAGAAAACGATACTTGTTGGCATCACCACAACCTGAAGTACTTGTATTACATTTAAAACGCTTCCACACATTATCTATGGGTCGTATAAGAAAAGTAGAGGACTTTGTCGAGTTTGATGAATTGATTGATCTGGAGCCTTTTGTGGTTCCCGATGACCTCACTAGTGATAGTAGCAGTAATGGTGCAAGTGATAAATCACCACCAGCATCATGGAAATATCGAGTAAATGGAATAGTAGTGCATTCTGGAGGAGGATACACGTCAGGACATTACACTGCTTATGTCCGATTACCTGCAGATTTAGACAAGAATGACGAGTCGGGACAGCCGCTTGGTGGGAACTGGGTGTATACGTCTGATACACATACTAGACGAGCATCTTGGCAGGAAGTGTCTCAGTGTGAGGCGTATGTGCTGTTTTATGAGAAGGTTTGAGACTACGAGGTGGTTGCAAGCCACACAGGTAACTGCTAGGATAATAGAGGGAGTGTGTGTGTTTTTGTGTATGGTGGTGGTGCCGGTGTAAAATAGAATGTTGAATTTGCATTACTTTGTGAGGTGCATCAGTCAGTTTCATTGTTGTAGTTTTGGCTGGTTGAGCTGCTATTACGATCTCATTTATGACCTGTAATTGTCATGACGCCCCTTCGACCCTCATCAAGGAGCCCACGGTCTTGATACGTGCATATCAACCACATACATTCGCCCATATTTGAAACGACAAAGAAAACCCAGAAAGTGTTGAGGTAATAACAAGCAGTCAAGTCAGTCCCGAGTCATAGGCTCAAATGAATACCGATTCCACATTGCCCTTTGAACCAGCTCGTCATGCTGTCGTAGCAGAAGGTAAATATGACACTCAAAATTGTGGAAGCGACGCCAAAAAACGAACCGGAACACTCCACTCATATTGAAGCTTCAATTATGTCGGAAAGCTTCTGCACTTATTTGTGAATATGGGGTTAAGTTTTCTTTTTTGCTCACACATCTCTCTCTCTCTTTCTCTCAAATATTTGATAGCAAGGTTGAAGATGAGCTCGTCAAACTATCACGTCGCAGATAACTATGATTTTGAATCAGCTAGCTCTTCCATCAGTCGAGAATGTATTGTTGTTACGAGTGCTAGAGAAAGGGACGTTTCGAGCATGTCAAGTTTGCAAAGATTGAAGCTTCTGGAAAGAAGTGAATCGTTATTTTGGCTCTGTCAATATGGGCATTTTTTGGTCTAGCCGCTGTGTGTGTGGCTTTATTCATACCCTGGGAGATTGAACTCATCATACATACACCAACCACAACAAAAAGACACACGATAAGCAGTTCATTATCTCGTTTTTGTACGATGGTTGTAATATACATGTTGGCAAAACAATAATACAAGTCTTTAGTACATTTAGGTAATAACAAGTTTCTCTTATATCCATAAACACACAAGTAGCCAAATCCACAAGCACAAGTTTTCATACCAAGCGTCGTCTCCTCTCTCAGTGTTCCCCTGTCCGTCCTCCCCACACACAATGTTGCATATATATAAACACCATCTCAACCAAATAGTGGACCACGAATACGTCTAGCGAGCTGCATGTCCTTTTGCATGAGGGTGACCCGTTTGGCGTGGATTGCACACAAGTTCCTAAAAGAACGGGTGTCTGATGAGTTGCGATTGTTACAAACAGGTGGTATTCAACAAAGACGAACGTATGCAGGATGCTTGAATATAAAGCGAATGCCTGCTCTCTGACCAACGCAACAAAAAACGACGCATGATCTATATATATTACTCACGAATCTTCAAACAAGTGTACGAGGTAGGCCTCAGCAGCTTCCTGCAATGCCATCAAAGCGTGTGACTGGAATCGTAACTCTCCGTCGAGTTCACCTCCAGTTACGAATTCTTGGGCTACTTCTCTGACCTAGGTAGAGATGAATAGGTGTGTGTTGATGGCGATTGTTGTGATGACATGGCGATTGTTGGAATGTGTGATGTGATGTTCGTCTCTTCGACACAATGTGTGATGTGATGTACGTCTCTTCGACACATGAGTGTGATACTGGCGGGCCTCATTGAATAGTACATCTGTCATGATCACTCTCAAATAACATACCAGCCTAGCAAAGGGCAGTTTCCTGAGGAGCAACTCTGTTGATTTCTGGTATTGTCTTATTTCTTTGAGGGCGACCTGACCCGGACGGTATCTTCGCCTTGTGCGTGCAGTTGGAGCTCGTGCCTTTGGTTCTGGTCCTATTCAATGTCAGATGGTGGTGAGCATAGAAAAGAGACAAGTGCTCAAGAGAATACATAGTATGGCGACATGGTATCAAGTATGCATCATGTTGTAATCATTGTCGCGCTTGCTTTATCTTCCTTCTTGTCGACACCAACAAAATGACATCAAAACAAGACGAATAATAACTACTAGATGTGGCCGTTCCTTACTTCGATCAGACTTGCGGACAGGAGTACGAGCAGTCCGTGGACTCTTTGTAGGCGTTCTTGCCATCTCGTAAGTAAGAAATCGAGGCTCAAATAGTTCAAAGTATTTTTGTTGATTTGGAGATGTGCTTGTCCTTCACATGTTTTGGAATGTCGGACGATCAAGTAGAACTCATACTAACTTATAAATACATAATTTCAATGCTAGATTCAACGTGGTGCCTCTGTTTGCTTGTCATCTCAACATCAACATTAGACCATTGGACTCAAAGGGGGCACACGCGTTACATGCTCCTTAACGTCAGTGTTCGCATCCTGATCTTGTTATGGCATCGTGAGTGCTATGAACTGGCAACTGTCGTGATTACGGCTTTATATGCCGCACCGTTTCAGGTCTTTTGGCTTTTGCTCACTCCAATGCATACTCATCACTTTGTTTTCTCTGCTGCTTCCTTCTTCACTTGTATAACCAAGATATGGACATTTTCATGCAACTCCTCCAGGAACGAAGGATCAGTTAAATGATTTTCAACAATCGGGATATGCTGTTATGGAATACTGAGCATAACGCTTCGTGTATTCCAGTGGACAAGGATTCAGGCCTCTGAATGCAAGAAGAGAGATTCATGGACAACTTTCAGTGTGATGATTTTGTTCTGCTGTGGATTGAATCCGCCAGTGGCTTTCTTCGAAACTCTTATATAGAAGGGATATCTCAGATACTGTGTGCTAAATGGAAAAATGTGGATTCGGAACTCGCTTGATGAGCATATTCTTTTCAACGTCCGCGTTTTGTTCGCTCGACGGAGACTTACGTCTCTCAAGTCTCTCTCTCTCGTTTCCCACTCTGATACGATGCGTCCGTGGGCATTTCAATGTCGTTACATTATCAGTAAACAAGAGTTTAAAAGAAGGTCGTGGCAAAGACAAATGAATCCTGCCTTTGGTGATAGCAACAAGGACGGAAGTCGGAAGAGAAGTCATCAAACCAGACTCCCCATCAAGAACCGCGAACGGATTATTACTACCATAACTAGGCCATCACCCGTATTGACGACTGGCATAAGAACAATGCTTGATATCCCCACGATCAGAAGTAGTACTATAGCTTTTCAGACGCTTCCATGCGTCCTCTATGGACGAATGCGAAAACGATGAGACTTAGTGGACTTGGCTAAAGGCTTGGATCTTGGAGCTTAGGTTGCTCAGGGATTGTGTTTGGGGACGAATCGAAACGATAAATAAAGGCATGTACAAGGAAGTTTATTGTAAACTATTTGAAGTGTGTCCTTGCCGCCCGAGTCCACTTTTTTGTGCATTTGGGTCTTGCTGCTCTTCACGAAATATTAGGTAGGAGATAGAGCGGTCAATATTCAAATAAATGTTGCATTGCCTGCAGCGCATGATCTGGTTTCGATTTTCTGTTTTGTTTCGCACATCTCAAAAAAATCCCAACCCTACCACAAAAATTCAGTCAACTTTAAATTTTTACGTGTAGCTTCCATCGCATCATCACTTCGGACCTTCCAAACATGGCAGACGATGAAGATGATACACCCGACACGTCGACATCAACAACCTCCATCCCATCATCCAACTTCAAAACTGCAAACAAGAAGAAAAACAAAAAGAAGAACAAGGCGAGCAGTAAAGTCAGTCCCGAGTCACCTGCGAGGTCTGATATCGATGTCAAGCTAGTGAATGAGCCGTCAACCACCTCGATAATGACTGAACGAGTAGTAGAAATATCTGATGAGACACGAGAAACCGTGGGAGAGACGCAACTAGGTGCAATGGAACAACCAGCCGTTGTCATGGAGGACTCAGCATCTAGAGTGGACGATACTACTAGTAGTAATGCTGTGGAAGTGCCTGTGGAAGTGTCAATACCACCAACAATACCAACAGCAATAACATCACCGTCCATTCTTGCTGGATTCAAGAATGCATCAACATCATCCCTATCCAAAGCAAGTGTCAAATTCAACGAATCTAGCATTTCAATACCGATGGTGAAGGATCCAGTGCCGATAGCAATGGTGTCTCAACGTGTTAGGAGATCTGAAAAGTGAGAAAACCGCCAGCATTCAACATTTTGAATTGGGATTTTTTTTTCGCTCACAGTTTCTCAAACAAAGTTTCAAAAGCGAAGAATTATCGCTATCTTTCGCATCTGAAATCTTGCCTGGGTTATTACTCGGCTCTCAACGTGCAGCTGAGGATCACGAGTATTTGAAGGAGATGAATGTGAAATATGTTGTTACTGTCGCGAAGGAGATACCGCCAAGTGGGTGATAGAGAAAGCTTTGAATCAACATAAGGAGCTTTTACCAAGCGTGTTTTTTTGCACCACAACATGTCTTTTGCTCATTTTCATCAAAACATATGTAGGTTTCCCAACAGAGATTTCATATCATTACTTACCTGCAGAGGCAAGTGACGTTTGCGTCCGCTCAGCATGACCAAAAAACCTTGCATCAACACTGTAATGCTCTAACCTAGGACAAACCATGGTTCAACATGCTGCCATACCTAGCTGACGCACTAGACTTTATTGATGAGCAGTTACGGCCTGAAGGTGGTGCCGATCCAGGTATAGCATCATGAGATATGTTTTCACACGACCTACTGTTCATAACTGGCTTGCCAATATATTTTATTCGCAGGACTTGGAGGAATCGCACCACCACACAACATCCTAGTCCACTGTGCACTAGGAGTGTCACGAAGTGCGACTGTCGTTATTGCGTGGATGATGAGAGCTAGGAACTGGTATGTATCGAGTTGGTCTCAAATGCTTTCTGCGCATCCATCACAAATACAATGCTCTTTTTTGCTCACTCATTTTCTCACGTACAGGACATTCGAAGAAGCATTCGCCGAAGTATCACGACGTCGAGAAATCATATACCCAAACGAGGGTTTTAGAGATCAGCTGAGACATTTCCATAAATGGGGCTTTACGGTTACGAGTGCTAGGAAGTGGACGTTCGAGTATGGCAAGTTTGTGAGGATTGAAGCTGCGGGACGGAAGGAGTCTATGTTGGCGTCGCCGTCTGAATGATGGTGGGTTTTGTTTATTATGGTTGTTTAGGATATACGTATATAAAAGTTGAAGTGGTAGTAGTTTCAAACACAATTGAACATAATAGCGGACATAAACCGTTTTTTTGCGTCTAATGAGTATATACTACTTTGTTTGAAGAAAAAGGTTTACAAAAAAAGGCTATCGGGAGTGAGCTATTGTCTACAGACTCAATCACACCACCAACCACGATGCTCCCACTCTATTCATCATCCACATCCCCACCACTCTTCTTCTTTTGACTCTTTTGTTTCTTCTTATTCCTGCCTAGATCTTTCGCTGGTGCTTGCTTCCTTTTATTACCACTAGCTGGTACTTTTGGCACCTGCTTCTTGTTCATCTTGTCTTCACTCACGAGCCCAGCATCATCATATTCCAGCAGCTTCCTCTTATCAGTCTTTTCATCTAGTATAACAGACACTCGTGGTTTGGATCCCTTCTTACTATTGTTATTGGTTTGCTTTATCGGTTGTTCATCATCATCGTCATCAGAGTCCTCTGATTCAGATACTGCATCTTCAGAGTCTTCTTCTGCGTTATGGGATGTGGTGGATGGTTCAACGAGGGTCATCGATATACAAGTGAGGCGAGTGTCTGCATTATATGTTCCGAGTGGTTGTGGTTCGTAGACTGATTGTTCGGCCTTGTCATCAATTGACGGTGGCTTTTGCGACAGCACTGAATCCCAATCCCATAGCCTGACACCGCCATCCGAAGAGCAAGAAGCAACATACGTCTTGCTGTTATACGTAATGACATCGAAATCCTTGACGCGAGTCCCATGTCCAGAATTCCACGCTATTATACATGTTCCGTCTTTGAGATATCCTCGAATCATCTTGTCCTCACCACCAGTTAGTATGACGTGCTGCTCCTTATCACTGCTACCCATAGCGACATACTTCATACAAGCGAGTTTGCCAATACCCAGTATAACAGCCTCCTCACGACCAGACGCAACATCATACACGACAATCGTCTTTTCCGACATTACAGCATACGCTTCACCATCCGGAGACCAAGACACTCGTTCAGGAGTCTTGCCTCGTCGACCCTCCCCAAGTTCTGTGATTCGTAGTGACTTGGCCAACCTCCCAGCTCCCAAATCCCATACTTTGAGCGTGCCGTCTCGACCAGCAGATATCAGTATCTTGCCACTGGGATGTATATCACACCATTCTACAGCGCCTGTATGTCCCTTAAGTGTCTTCAGCACTTCCCAGTCCTTACACCTGTATATGACTATAGTTCCATCTTCAGAGGACGATACGAGATGTGTTTTGCCAAAGAATTGTAGGCGGGTAATGGCACCAGAGTGAGGATTGAGGGTTCCGATTTCTCGACGTCGGTTTAGGTCGAATACTTTAATGTGTTCGTCTGTTGATCCAGTGGCCAAATAAGAGCGTTTGCTAGCATTGGGAGCGAGTTTGACATCACTATTGGTTGTAGTATTCGACGTGGTAGCGACACATTTGAGTGCAGATATGTGAGCTGGAAAAATAAAAACAGGCTTGAACACTGCATTCGTCTCCTCCTGCAGTCCAGATACAGTCAGGCCATACAGGAGTCGCTCGTAGGTACCCAATACTATTGTAAGTGCTGCCATCCCTATGATATACCACTGTCGCTTGTTGGCTGTTTGGATCAAGTTTTTTTTTTTTCGAGGAAAAAACTCAAGGGTTGGAAGTGTGCTGAACGGTTTTCTAACTTGAACCTTTCTGTTGCCATTAGGTATATTTAATGCAATTCAAAATACACGTTGATCCGCCTCTGACTATTCTGGATGCGTGACTATTGGATGCTCGTGGTGTGAACATCAAACACTTTGGTCGCAAATGACACCTTTGTTGAGTTTTTGTTTTGGAGGAGGGACTGGGAGGTAGAGTCGAGGTCATTTCGGGCCGCTGAGTGTGTGGTGGTTGGTTGGGAGCAGTTGTGGGTATTCCATCATCCCAGTATCTCAGTGCTTTTTTTTTTTCGCGTGATACTGGATGCATCGACGCAATCTTAAAAGACGTTTGAATCAAGGCACCATCATCTTTTCTTTACCGAATCGTGGTGATGGTGCAGAAACAAAACTTACGGAGAACGAATGCTTGTATTCTTACCACCACAATGATTCTATACGCTGTATCTGTGGTGATATTTTAGCAAGCAACATTCACAACTCAAACCTTCTTCTGTTTGGCTGAAGTCTGTATGTTACTATGAAATACATGTCATGTTACTATCTACACTGATCCTCCTCGTTTCATGGACGTTTGAAGAAGACTTGTTGACCTCCTTCTCCAGAAAAGACCAAGCGAGACACAGACTACGACGAATTGGATGGCAAGTGACAGAAGAGATGATGTCTGATAGCATGAATGGCCGTAGCATATGGTTGTTCCTTGACGTGATGCTTCAACATCGTATAGTTGACCGAATGAGAGGTTTGCTACGAAAACTCCAAGTGGCACTGGAACCTATAGTGGTAAATGATGTTGGTCTGTTTTCTGTCTCGCGCTGTTGAAATCTTGACACAAAAAACGAGTGCAGTATAAAGCAACAAATGAGACAAACTCAAACGACACAACCACCACACTCACCATCAGGCCTGCACACGCAAACCCATAACTCTTCATCCCAAACAAATCCCTCACAAGCGGTGGAAACAGCGCTCCACAGCATCCAAATCCAAAACCCAGCAGCAGCGAGCAGAAATACAACGACGATGGCGACACACCAGCCGATATAATAGCAGCAGCGACAAGCAGCATGACCTGCGAAACCACAAGTAGAGCCGACGAGTCCACATACGGCTTGACCACATCACATGCAACAGCCATCACAATCCTCCCAATTGAATTCGCAGCTGACAAGAGCGTCACGTTTATACTGATTTGGGAAGCCAGTGTGTCTTTATCGATTGTTGGAGATACGGATGTGAGGATTGTTGAGACGTTGGTAAAGTACGTTATGCCTTGCTGCCAGACGCATACAAAGAGATATAACATGAACTCCTTTGAGGTTATGATTTGATATGGTGTCATGTGGGACTCTTCATGCTGGTCTTGGATTGTTATTGTTTTCGTGGCAGGATGGGGTATGAGAGAGTTTGAAGCGTCGTTGTGCTCAATAAAGAATCCTTCTTCTTCGGGCGAGTTGATTTGGTTTGATGATATGATTTCGTCAGTGCTTGCCTGATTCGATTTAGACAAGTTTCGTGGTGATTTCGCATCAGTTGGTTTGACAGTGAGTTCAGTGCTTGATCCAAGCTTTGGTATTGGGGGTTTTGATGTATCAAACATAAAGCATGCGCCGAGCAAATTAACAACCAACACCATTATAGCCAGAAACATTAAGAAGCCGCCTGCATCAGGATCAGGTGATCCTTCAACAAATCCGTGATAAAAGACCTGAGCGACGAACGTAGCACTGAGACCGTAAAAGAGCAGTAGTATCCCAGTGATTTTCCCAGTCCAAGTACTTGGGAAGTTCTTGATATTTAAGCCAATGACGGCCATGTATGCTGCACACGATCCACATCCTGCGAGGAAATAAAAGAAGCCTACTACTCCAACAGATCCCAAAACCGAACCATCGGTCGTTTTGGTGTACGAGTTCCACATCCCGATGAAGCCGCCCGAGTATAGTAATGCTGCTAGAAACATTGTCCATGATGCACCAAATTTGTCGTATAGCGGGCCACATACTATGAAGGCTATGTTGTTTCGAAAAGTAATGAGCTTTCGTGGCAAAAGTACGCAACACTGAAATGTACAATGAAGAAAGTGAGAAACAACCAAGTAAAGAGTGGAACGATACCTAAATACAGAGCAGTATTTCCAAGGAACGAAACGATATTGACTTCAGTTTCGCTCCAACCAAACTTTGCCTGTAGGCTTGAAGAGAAGCTAGCATAACTATAAAGAGCTCCAGCAGTGCTCATAACCAGTATGCTCTAAAAGTTGATCATTCATGTTAAATGAATGCTTTAGTCCGTACAAACGTCTGATCTACTCACGGACGCAAGAGTGATCCATCGTAAAGTCGCTTGTGAAAACTTGCTGAAAATCCATGTCTTCACATCAAGCAGGCTAGTATTCATTACTGAAAATAATCGTTTTCGAAGTATTTTAAATTGACTTTTGATACCACTTTACATTGGAGCTTTGGTTTAGTCACGAGAACTTGCCTTAGAAACCACTTCATAATTTTCTTTTGCAAACTGCGCTGAATCCTAACACACGTGAGGCAAATCGATGGCTCGGAGGATATGGTACGCTTGGTATTTTGAGCAACTGAGCCAGAAAACTTCAATAAATTCGAAATATAACTTTTTGAAATTTCAACACACATGCATGAGGATATACTACGCATGGTATATTTCTTGAGCAACTGAGCGAAACACTACTACTATTACTACTACTATACTAGAGATGACTTTACAAACGAGGGCTGAGCAAAAAATAAATGAGTAATGGCACTATACGACTACTATACTACATGGTCCCCAACACCCTAAATCCCTGACACTATGATACAGACAATCCCAGCTACTAGCACAAGCGATTAAACGATTTCTTAATCGTTACGTCCCAAAAGGCCGATGACAGCATGACATCGAAGGGTATCTTTGGCGTACACCTGAGCATCCCACCAGCTTCACCATCATGGTTATAATACGTATCAGAGTTTGGTTTACATTTGAAGACGCGGTCTTTATTATAAGTTTGGGTATCAGTATCTTTTTGTAGCTGCGATTCAATATGGATAGCTCCCAGATCATCCAAACTATGCACAACTTCTTCGTTTGGGTCAGATATCACAGCAGCAGCATCACATACATCCGGCGATGACAAGACATACGAGTTTCGATCGCTATTCGTACTACTATATAGCGTGATGATTGAAAACTCTTCGTCACATCCTGCGGCATCCGTCACACCACTACCACCAGTACTGTTGCTTGTATTCCAATCCTCAGATTTAACTCTCATGCGAGCAAATACTGATTTTATCCTGTTTGGTTTGCTACTTGATCCAGTAGTAGTAAGTATTCCATCAGTGTTATCAGATTTTGACCTTTCTCGTTTCCAGAGAGTGGATGTTGACGAGTCTGTTGAGGCGGCACTAGCGTTTCTCATATGGCTTCCGAGTTTCTTTGCCAGTTTTGTGAATGATAGCTTGTTGGTGTTGTTGGTGATGTTGTTGGAGTCATCGTCCAACATGACCGGTGTTGATGTTAGCATTTTTCGTGCTAAGGCTGTAAGGAGTCGGAGGGGCAACTAGTATGATAGTTATATATATTTGTTAGCTCAAGAGGTATCCTTACATACTTGAAGAATTTCTAGTTGAACTTACCTGGTTCGACAGATACGATTGAAAATCAGATGTTCAACTTTGAGCGGGGAACTCTGTCACCAATGTAGCTATGACGTTTCAGTAAGCTTACAAAGAATGAATACAAGTACATGGCAGTGAATATGACGTACCCTTTCTAGCGTCCAAAGTCTTCCTTCTCGCAGTGTTCTCCGAAAGTTGGCCAAATTTTAGTAGAAATAAAAAGTTAGGAGAGGCTCAGCGAAAGAGTCAACACGTTTTCTACGAGACCAGCGAAACCAGTAATAAAAATCTAACCGAAACGCAGTAATCACATAATTCAGCTGTACCATATTAAATTACATACATGATCTCATGCTAGACTGTTGACGTATGCTGTTGAATCTACACGCATCCCACTCTCCCCTGCTCTACAGTATAGGAGTAAACTGTACATGAGCACCCTTCTTGAATTCTCTTATTGGGGTACTGAAATCAGCGTGCTTTCCAAAGGAGGCAGCATTTGCCAATCCGTTTGATGGCATAGAACAGATTGCTATTCCATTAGCCATGGCTGCTTGATCAGTCCAGAATGTTACTGGTTGGGCGTATTGCCTTTTCATGGCCTGTTGGTTGACGGGGACGATTAGAGATTAAAGGCTGGATCATTTCGGAAGTATTTGTAGAGCTTCTTTTTTGCGGTTTACCTCATCAACAGGCTTAGATCCTAAATCTTCGACTGGCGGGTAGATGTCTTCATGACCAAAGTCTTGTTTGGCTGTAGATATCCAGTCTTTGGCGGAGCGGTCTTCAACTGGTTCCTTGATTTCAGATCTATAGTGTTGTTTTGAAGTCAGCCTCAAGCCCTTTCCTATACGATGCAAAACATATAACGACGGCAGACATAAATGTACTCACGCAGCGATACGAGCATACTCTTCTTGCTGTAACTGCAAACGACGACCAATTCGACCAGCACCACCAGCAGGTCCTTTGAATTCTGCCTTGTTGGTTGTAATCAGTTCTCGTTTGTCTGACTGCGCGAGTATTCCCTATGGGTCAACAAAAACGGAGGTTATGAGTGACATCGTTGGGATACTGATCAACAGCCATCAATTCCAACAACGTACTTGATGACCAGCTTTAGACAATGTAGGCAAATCTTCAGGATCCTTGAAACCTTTATCAGCGACAGCTCGTTCTTCAACAAAGTTTTCAAGCAAGATTTTTCCTTGTGGTGCCTTGTGGTTTCCTCGAGGATCAGCTCGGGGTGGTTGTGATTCGAATGCTGGGACTCCTCGTTGAGGCCAGTCAAACTTAAAGACGAAAAGAGGAAGAAGTCAAGTTTGATCTCACAAGTTGATGGCCTAACACGATACAACTCCTGCAGTAACATATAACGAAAGCAAGAAAACTTACATGACCACCAGGTCCACTCATCCCAATAACAGTCTCTCTAGCACGACCAGATCCAGCCTCCTCCAACAAGAACCGATCTTCAAACCAATTGCCCTGGAGCGTGACATTTGGTTTATGCTTGATGTGGAAATGTGGGTCACCACGAACAGCAGGTGTAGGTTTCCAAACAGCTGCTGAATCCATTTTAGCATCCTTGGCCTCCTCAACTTGAGATTGTGTTCCAATAATGGATGCAGTAGCAATTACAGATTGTTTGCCATTCGACAAGGCATTAGGAACCTCTTTGGCATATCTCTCTTCAACCCAGTTACCCAATAATGTAGCTGCGACTCGTTTGGGAGATGCAGCTTCAGTGGTTGCTGGTTCTGGGCGGTTTTTGTGGTGTCGACGAGGATGGAAACCTTCGTCTTCGTGGGCATAGTGTGCTGGTGGGTTTTCTCCATTTCGTGCGCGTAGCTGGGCTTCGAATGCTTGACGCTCTTCGACGTAGTTCCCTAAGAGAGTTGGTGCAATAACATGGGATCTGTTGCTTGTGTCGGAAATATCCACTTGAGGCATGGTTTTTGCAGTGAGCTTGACTTGATAAAAAGGTTCGAGATTTGATTTTGTTATTGATAGATTGGGTGCAGAGGAAGTCTTCGCGCAAAAAGTCCAGTGTTTGACTAAGGGGTGTTGATTCACGCACTTTTTATCTCCGAGACCAAATGTTTTGCAGAGTTGGTCGAAACACTTAACAGATTCCGATCCCACATGGACAGTGGATGCTTCAATTTACGATACGTGGATACGAAATTGTCTGTCAAATAGAACGTATAGAGTGAAGCCTGCTATAAACGCAGTAACATGGGTTTTGTTTCTGTTTTTTGACAAATCACTCTATGCGATCGCTCTCTAGTTGTAAGATAAAAGCATTCACTGCCATCTTAAGGATAATTTGACGCGAAATTCCTAGAGTTTTGTTATTACGTACCGTTACAACTGGTATTTTTCCTGTTCTGCGTCCATCAACCGCGACCATTCCAGCAACACCTATTTAAGTGAACAGCCCCCCACAATCTGTTAGTAAAGCACCTGCGTTCTCATCAGGGCGCACTTCAACAATTGAGGAAGGTCTTCGGACCACATAAAAAACCCCCACTCAATAATGTGGTAACGTGGTTGGGGTTAACTCTTATCGATTGTCACCTTGACGGTTTCTCGAAACACCGACAGGTTTGCCTGACAGCACATACAGAGTGGTATTTACGACAAAATGGCTGATGATACACCCCCGTCGCCTACCAGGTCTAATGGCCCGACGAAACTCAAGACTCAATCTATTGGGTACGAAAATTGGGTACTTTGTGGATAATACGATCCGACACATACACTAACTTGTACAAAAATTATTCTGGAATTGCAGGCATTACAATTTGGAGAGGACTGTCGGAGAAGGCAATTTTGCTAAAGTTCGTCTTGCAACACATATGCTCACTGGTGAAAAGGTAGGACTGAGTCATTAGGAATTCGCGTGCAGTGTCAGCCACAACTGACTTGTTTCCCTCTAAAAATTGGAAATTTACTGGATATAGGTCGCGGTAAAGATAATAGACAAGACCAAATTAGACAAACCGACTGCTAAGAAACTGCACCGAGAGGTCAGAATCATGAAGCTGCTTAATCATCCACACATTGTAAAGTTGTATGAAGTTATTGATACGCCAAGGGAGTTGTTTCTTGTTATGGAAGTATGTACATGTGTTGATGTAGACGCATTGCATTCGGTTTTTGCGTCAGCAAGAGAAAACGTGTTGAAGCTAACATATGTGCTTTGTGCTTATAGTATGTTGCTGGTGGTGAAATCTTTGATTATCTGGTTGCTCATGGACGGATGAAAGGCGAGCATATGAACTTCACGCTTCAGCCTTCTTCACGATGCATTTTATTGCCTTTCACCACTAACACTCAACCAAACTATAGAGAAAGAAGCCCGAAAGCATTTCCGCCAGATCGTCTCCGCCGTCGAATATTGCCACAACCTCCGTGTAATCCATCGTGATCTCAAAGCCGAAAACCTCCTCCTCGATGAGAACCTCAATGTCAAGATTGCAGACTTTGGATTTTCAAACCAGTTTGATCCTAACGAGCATTTAAACACTTGGTGTGGTAGCCCGCCGTATGCTGCTCCGGAATTGTTTCAAGGGAGAGAGTATGTGGGGCCTGAAGTTGATTGTTGGTCTTTGGGAGTTGTGCTGTTTGTGTTGGTTTGTGGGTCTTTGCCGTTTGATGGATCGACTTTGCCTAAATTGAGAGCGAGGGTGCTGAATGGGGAGTTTCATATTCCGTTTTTCATGTCTACTGGTAAGAACTTTGTTTGGGGTGAAAAAGATACGATAAAGTTATTGGATGAAATCCTTTTCTAATATTGGTTTCTCTTTGCTTCTCGTAGCATGCGAGAAACTCATCAAAAGACTCCTAGTAGTCGATTCTAGCAAACGAGCAACTGTAGCACAAATCAAGGAAGATCCATGGTTTTGTGAGGGCATGGATGAAGAACCCAGCATAACACAAATCCCAGCTCCCGAAGACCTAACCGCCGATCAACAAATGGCCGTATTAAAAGAACTCGAAGACTTGGGTCTCGATACTTCCGAAGTTGAAGCGTCAGTAACATCAGGCCAATACGATCATCTCTCAGCCACCTTCTTCCTAATTGCAGACAGAGTAGCTAGAAAGGGAATGGCCCTTCCACCAAGCAGGCCGAAATCTCTGAATGAAGCAACGTCACCTATTGCCGAGTCCGCAAGGAAAGGAAGTGGGAAGGAAGATGATATGCAGGTGCTACCAATCTTGCCAAAACCAAGTAAAGCTTCAGCTAATCGGGATTCATCAGTCCCGTCTTCCCAAGCTGGAGACAGCCAACAATCATTCAGTGACGATGCTCGCTCATCTAACGGTGAAAGAACACGAGCATCAACAGATCGTCCAACTCGAAGTCGCGAAAGTGTGAGAACCGACAACTCATCGAACGATGCACCTCCACCGGTCGTGAGCCGTCGTCCACCACCATCCAGTGACAAACCAAGACCAATGTCAGCTGTAGGAGCGCCCGCAACAACCGGCCGTAAACGTGCTGCTACAGTCACAACTCCCATGGGAGTCAACGAGCTGAAGCGAGAATTGCTGGAATCCAATATGGCTAAAGCTGCTGCGAAGAAGGACGACAAGAAGGATTCAGCTACTGAACGTGGTGGATCAAGTGATGCGGTAGCAGAAACCAGACCACGTCCATCACTATACGTTACTGCAAGACCGGTATCCTATGCTGGTGGTGCACCACCTTCTCCAACTTCGCCTACGCCGTCTCCCGTATCACCAGCTGCATCAGCTCCTTCCACAAGTATATCTCCCACATCATCTAGTAGCCCTACCGGCCCAACAACACCCAAACTGTCCGCCGCCGTCATTCGAACCCGTGGCGCTCGAGCTGCCACAATCACCATCAACCGAAACAACAAGGGTGGAGTCGACGGACTCGTCAACTCATCAGGACCATTACCAAATGTAGCACATCTCCTCAAGCCCAACGATAGCGCCAACGCCATGAATCTGTCTGGTGGACTACCCTCCATACGTACTGATTCTGCCACATCATCCTCCCAAGCACACGCACTACCATCTAAGCTAAACACCAGTGAAAGTGCATCAAACAACTCGCTAGCAGACCGGCCCAAGACGGGCAAGATAATCAAAAAGGAACCACGTACAATTCGGTTCTCCTTCTCGGTGAATACTACATCGTCAAAGGATCCAGATACGTTGATTAACGATATACTTCGGGTGCTGAGAGAATCGGGTATTAGATACGAGCTACAAGCGTATATGGCTGTTTGTGTGGCTTCTGATATAGAATTTGAAATTGAAGTGTGTAAACTGCCGAGACTGTCACTTAATGGTATTAGATTCAAACGTATCTCTGGAGAGGCCTGGGGTTACAAGGCTGTGCTGACTGATCTAATTGCTAAATTGAACCTTTAATCCCGTGAAAAATACCTCGTCGTTTGGGGTTTGACGAGCTGTGAATACATTTTGAAAACAATAATTATGTTCTTGGTTGAAAATCTCTAATATTTCAAGTAATTTCCTTTTGCAGCACAACAGCTAAATAATATATCTTCATATGATGTACATGATTAGGCATGAGTTTCGTTTTGTATCATTGCTTGCTTTCTATGCGTCCGTCGAAGCTGAACTTGAAGGTGGAAGAGACGCCAATTGTCCCACTACTTGATCATTATCACGCTTCATTTTAGAGTATGGGTCTAGAGGACCTTTCTTGCCTGCAAAAAAACATTCATCAGGATCTGCACTGCTTGTCAAACACCAACAATCTTCCATCTTCCTACCTTCAGACCTCTTAACAACCTTTGGAACACGGGCACCATCATCCGTAGTATTCGACAAACTAGCTCCACTAGCTCCAATCCCACTATCTCCCTTATCAAATGGATATTTGCCCTTGGCTCCATTACCGCCACCAACAGCGTTACGAGTCTTTGTATACATACGACCAGTTGTACCCGATTCGACTTTACTGTACTCGGCGGTAGCCATAGAAGCAACCGGATTTCGCTTACGATGCATCATCATGCTCTCCGGGAAAGTCTCGCCATACGACATCATCATTACCGTTTGTCCTGTTTGAGCTACATGGACACCAGCGGCTGCTGCAGCTGCTGCAACCGATGCGACAGTGCTCAAGGCATGGTTTTGAGCTTGAGTGTTGTTGCCATACATTGCAAATTGGTGTTGTTGTTGTGGTGGGCGGAAGGTGGATGACGGTGGTGTAGGTTCTTGATTATAGTTATGTGAGACTGGTTTTCGTGGTGACGATGGTTCGAATTTCTGAGCGACATTGACAGTCTCACCACCCCCTCGTTCACTTAATGCTCTACGTTGTTCAGCAACCCATTCTTGTAGTTGAGTTGGATGTCTCGAGTCGTGGTTTGAAGAGCGAGCCTGCTCCTGCTCGAAAAGCCCAGACACGGATGGATAACGGACTGGTAGTGTAGCTGATCGCGATACTGGGGCTGTAGCAGCAGCATGATTCGTGACAGAGTCCTTGACATGGTCTTGAGCATCCATCATAGCCAACACTTTACGTAATTTACGAGCATCTTTAGCAGACGATTGTCGTATAACTACATTTTCAGATCTTAGACGTTGGATTTGTCTAATTAATGTCTCGTATCTTGCTTCTACGGCTGGATCAGGATGAGCATCCTCAACTTCGAAAAAGTTGAGTTCGGAAGAATGCAAATCAGAACCGTTATCGATTATAACGTCTTCTGCTGCTGCTCCAAATGCACTCATATCTGATACACGTCTGTTGAATCCACTCGGCACTCGTTGGCCATTATGTAAGATTTCAATGGCGGTGGCGTAACTCGTTTTGCGTGAGCTAGGCTCCAACGCAATATTATTATTTGTAGGCCGGTGCAATGATGGTCGTCGAACTATATGGGGTGGTCTGGCCTGTGCATTCGACTCAGGATCTTGATGTTGGATGGGCGCTGATGAGGATGCATCGGCGTCTCTACCACTTGCATTCCAGAATTTTAAGAATCCTGACTTCATCTTCTCGGTAGACTTGGTCGGGCTGAACGAAGCAATTCCAGTAGCTGGAGGTACTATAACTCTAGCAGTTTCTATACGTGGAGGTCTTTGATAATGCTCGTTTCCCGTAGCAGAGACATACTTAATGGGAGCACCAGATGGTCGTCGTTTCACTTCAAGTAATTGAGCTCGTTTCGACCCAGCAGGTCGCTGTTCAAGAAACTCTGATCTTGTTGGCTGTTGCTTATAAAGTGGCTCTTGAGCAGCATCCATCAAATCAGGATGCGATTTACTACTAGCGAGAGCTTCCAAAGCTGCCCAACTAGAAGTCCGCTGCTGTTTTTGCAATTCTCGTATATGAGCTTCGTGATTCTTATGGAGAGCACCCAATCGCTCAATTTCAGCTTGTTGCGTAGAAATAAGTCTCTTCATATAATCTTCAGTACTCTCAACCTGTGGATCAGATGGATGTCCTGGGAGAGATCCGAGAGTATATACATCGAATCGTCCTTCATGAGGCAATGCTTCCTGAAGAGCTTGTCGAATTTCTTCAGTTGCCTTTGAATCAGGCATGATTACATCAGGACTAGAGTCCGCAGATGTTGCCGGTGACATGGGAGCAGGTACTTTTACACCTGGGATTGATGACGCTACTCTGGTTGGAGAGCTGGGAGCAGACTGGTGTGGTGTGCTGGCACGACCATTTTCGCGATATGGAGATGGTGGCCTTGAGTCACTCGCCATCATATTGGTGACCATAGGATCTCGGTCTAAACCTGATGGATGTGGTAGTAGCTTTTCTCTGAAGAGGGAAAGAATTGGTCGTTTAATATCTACATTGACCGTCCGACGTCAATTTGTCTTTTTTTGTTACCTGTTGCGACCAGGAGACGAACGGCGACTATCTCCAGAGCCCTTGCTTCCAGTGAACTTGTGGCAACGTACAAGAATACCAGCTGACTCTTCTCGTAATCGTAAGCATTTCTATGATGAAGGATGATATGAGTGATGCAAAAAAGAACCTTCGGAAAAAACGTCAATTTTGATACGACCAAGGGCTGCAATACCTTGATTTCATTCTGAGTTTCCTCCCTAAAGACAGCATAATGTGCAAAAGTTGTCTTGAAGCTATCAACTATTGCTCTTGACTGCTCCTCTTCTGAAACACCAGCAGTATCTCTCATAATGGACTTGGTAAGGCTCTAACCAGGAAAAGACGAGAGTCATTTCTAAGCGCAAAAAAAGATTTAGAAAATGCTTCATGCACGAACCTCGATCTTTGCCAAAAGCTCATCCTTCTCCTTGCGAGTTTGGCGAATAGTATCTTCCAGGACCTTGAGCTGTTTACGTCTAGCGTTCAAAGCAGCAGACACATCCAAATCTTCCCCCGTCTTCAACACGTCTGCAAGCGAAAAAAGGCGTCATGAGCTGGACTATAAACAATTGATGACTCTCCCAGCTCTGTACCTAATCCAGTTCCGAAATTTTGAACTTCCTCAAACTTCTTGAGACATTCAGCTCTCGTATCCGATATCTTGGCCAAAAAGATACCACGTTCCAACCTGGCCGCTGTCAATCTTGATCTTGTATCATCTAGTGTAGCACTAGGAGTATCCAGACATGGCAAGATTGCTTTAAGCTTTTCCTGAATGAAAATGTAACTGGTCAGCACTAGACATATAGTCAAAGTGGTCAACTTTCTTTTACCTCACTCCAACCCAATGGTGAAAACTCGGCAATCTCTGTCTCATACAATAGATACAAATCCTCTAGTTTGAGCTTGCGTTCACGCATTACATCAGTCATTTCTACGGCTGACTGTCGTAATATCGAGACTTGATTTACAAGATTCGAGTCACCCAACGACGCGATTTCAATACGATCTAGGATTTGTAACGACTGAGAAGATAATTAGCCATCAGTGTAAGCTACAAGCTCAATGAGCGAATGGGCATGAAAACATCTATCTGTCGAGCATACCTCTTGAAGGTTACCACCAATAATCTCCTGAAGCCGTCGAAGGTTCTTGATCATTTCCTCCGAGCTAATCACAACTTCTTCCTTTTGATAGACTTTAATCTGCTCAATCAGCATCGCTGGATTAGCTCGTTGAAAAGCATCTTCCGATGTTGTTGCACCACCATCCTTCCCATCATCTTCGGCCTTTGATGAGGCGAGACTCAATCCCAGAGCAGCAACTTTGGCATCAATCTCCACCACAGAATTACTTAATTCTATACGTCCGGCTTCTACAATACGACCACAATCCTGTAAGAAATTACGGACGTCTTCGTGATGATTTGGTGCAATGACGGCATGGAATAAGTCTTGGAAGCGATTTAATGGACCTAGAACATTCGTGGCGGTGGGCGGGGCTACAAGCGGATCAGAAGGTCGTTTTATAGGTACTAGTAATCGGACATCGACGGTGGTTTGGTGGTGCAAGTCAAAATTGGCGGAATCTGTAGCCAATAGAGCATTAACAATAACTTCCGTGTATGCGTCTACTACATCCCGTAATACTGCTGATGTATCACGGGCAGCTTTGGAAGCTTGGAAGGCATATCCGCGGGCTACTGTTAATCTCGTTACTCGTTCCGCGACTTGCATGGCTGCTGGTAGCGTCGAAGGTGTATGAAAATGGGCTATAGCCGTCAATAGGAGATATTTTGTCTTCATTTGCGATACCCATTCCTACGATATAGGTGTGAACAACTACGTGCGTAGAAACAGCTAAGGTATAGACTATACCCTTGGATATCGAATCTTTCCAAACCCGTTATTCGACTTGGCCGATCGTTGAGCAATCTGATAATAGTCAGCACACTGAGCAGCAATCTGAGCTGTGATAGGGCTGCTGACATGATCTAAACAGTCAAAGATTTCAGAAATTGCAAGCTTTCGCCCCGTTTGCGTTTGAAGACTATATACCTTCGGTAGCCTTTCCGTAAAAGCATTCCAGAGCCTGAGCAAGCATCAATTGAGCTGATGCAGTCAAGGTCTGCTCTGAGACATCCGACGATTTGTCCACGCGGATGCGATATCGATTGCAAAGTGCATCCCGAATGAAGATAAATACACCAGCGGCTTTCTGTTGATTCGGAGATAGATCAGCATTGATGTGATTGTATCGCCAGCAAGATTTTGACAAACCTGGAAGTAGGCTGAGGCATGTTTTTTGCCAGCAGATGTCCATAACTGTTCTCCAGCAGCCAATTGAGAGAAAATAGAGCCCATATTGTAGAGAACTGATGCCTTCTCGTACTGGATGCAGCTGGTGATAACTAGACGGAATAATATGGTTAGCATTTGGCCTTCAGCGTGAAAAGTGACAGGGTTCTCACTACTTTTTTTATCGTCCGCGAAAGCTTCAAACCAAATGAAGGTCACATCCATCTTTCCAGTTTCAAAAGGAAACTTCTGCTCCAAATATACCAACTGGGCATAGTAACTAGGTAGATTGTCGTTAGCCACACGTGACCAAAAACACCAACGGTGCGAACACATACTGTGCCAGCTTCTCTATACCACCAAAGCTACGTTCAGGTGCTCCGGCGTGAATCCTCATTTGGTTTAGAGCATACCACTGAGACTCTGTAGGTAAAAGGAGCTCTGTGGTTTTCAACAGCTGCAACCGTGACTCTTCAGCCTCCTCTTCAGCGTCAGCAGCTAGATCGTTATAATTATCATATGCTGAGGTAGGATTCCTTACAGGAAAGTGCGACTTTATTGGTACGGTATTACCAAAAGGCTGATTGGTGCTGTTGTTAAGAGCGACGTGAGGAACAGGCTGCACGAGAGCCAGGATGGTTGGAAGAAGGATTTCCTTGAAATCTAAATATTGTGGTGCTAATAATCGAGCCTGAGAGTTCGATCGCTCCAATAAATCACCAGCGTTTGATGCCGAAGATGCAGAATCACGAATGTCGATCTGAGTAGCACTTCCCAGACGAGCAATGGCTCGTTTAGCACCATTTCCTAGAGCTTTAACGCCCTGCAAGACGTGAGTGGCGGTAGTGGGGGCCGCGTTTAGATGATGAGCTGCATTCCGTTTGGTTGGCAATGACAGAAACACCGATTGTTCAGCATTCGAAGCCAGATTCGGCCCATCGTAGAATGGCACGGCTTGAGGATCTCCGGCATCATATAGATGATGGAAGGAGACATGTGCTCCTGTTGTCGACAGCATGGTTTAGACCAGATCTAATCTAATTAGTTTAAAATCTATGAATTGTTCGCTTGCGTGTTGTGAAGGAGACGCAGCGACAAACGACATGTATAAGAAGAAAAAAGAGAGGATATATTCACGAAGCCCATATATCAAGTTAGGCAAACAGTTGAACCAATTCGTGTAGACAATTACAGTTACAACTTGTTGACGATCAATAACTAGAGTGATGGAGGATTTCGGATTTCGTTGTCAGAGAGTATGAAATAGATTATGCATTGAGGCGTAAATGGCGTAAATATTGCATGGTATGGGGTTATTTACAAATACGTACAAACTACTACTATTACATGATGGTCACAAACTACAAATCTACATACTACGAATACTGAGCACTAGGACCTCCCCAATGGCAATGCATGACCCACCCGAAGGCGTCCAGAGGCCTCACCTCCTCGGGGGCGAGAGGACTTTGTGTTTCCTCCTCGTAGCAGCTTGTCGCATGGATTGCACATTTCGGTACAGTTGTCGCACTTGAGCCAGCTGACGATTCATCGGAACCCACACCGAAGAGTGTCTTGGAATATAGATCTAGCACTAGGACCTCCCCAATGGCAATGCATGACCCACCCGAAGGCGTCCAGAGGCCTCACCTCCTCGGGGGCGAGAGGACTTGGTGTTTCCTCCTCGAAGCAGCTTGTCGCATGGATTGCACATTTCGGTACAGTTGTCGCACTTGAGCCAGCTGACGATTCATCGGAACCCACACCGAAGAGTGTCTTGAAAGTATCCCACATATTGGCAATGGTCTCTGAAGATGGGATGTGGTGATTGTTAGTAAATGGGTTTAACGACTGAACTGCAGACCAAAAAAAGCCAGGAATCGTGGCATCTGAATCATCCGCCGAGTATGGATGCTTGATAGTATGCATCCAGTGCATCCTGCGTCGCTCCTAGCCTCTCCTCTCACTTCTCTCTAGTGGAAATGGGGTTTTACAATGTTTCGAGTTGACGGCAGGTCAGATCACATTAAATAGACGAAACCGACAATTAAAATGATGAGTGATATAGCAACAATATCACGTGTAATATAGACAGATGAGCGGTATCGCTGAGTAGGACGCGTTCTGGGCGAGTATTCATGGCTCTAGACGGTACTTTTTGTTCAGGCCGTTGGCGACTGGGAATTGGGAAGAATGGGCCAGTAGGCTGCAACGAAGAAGGGAATATCCTTGGAATGAATCTTAAGAAGTAGAAGTGATTGCTGGATCTAGCATGTTGAGGTGCTTCTACTCGACTAGGTTGGCTGTCAATGTCATAACTCTCGAAATCCGTTCCATTCAGTAGCTGGTCCTGAATTGATGCAATGGCTGAACAGCGAGGTTATCAGCCTCTGGAATGCCATGAGTTATCCACAAATACCTTTTTAAATGCTCGCTTTGTTCCATGGGTAAGACGTCTCCACACTCACTTTGCTCCAAACGTCACGTTATTTCCTTCGGAATCATCAATCAAGACCATAACTGAACTATCTTTTCTCTGTTTTAGCGAATAAATTTAATGGCATTCAGCAAGCAGGACCCTGATATCCTCTATGTCGCCGAATACGACATCATCAAATGTTTTCGAGTGAATCAAGTCACGGCATTCGACACTTTGATATCGTCTGAAGGACAACGATCGCCTATAAATGCTATTCATGTTGGTAGTTTGGGAGCTATGGAAGTGTTGGTGACTGCTAGTGATAGAGGTCCAGTCAGAGTGTGGTTTACGAATTTGGACAGCGACCTTCATCGCACCCCCATTTCTTTACAACCAGAGTAAGGTCATATTGAACTCAATCCATACTCATCGTGAAATCACTGAGAACTCTCTCTTTGATTGTTAGTGAAAGTGCTTGGGGCATTGCAACACACGCCGAGCATCATTTGGTTGCAGTCTCGACGAACGCTCATACCATAACTGTCTGGAATCTGGAAGCCGATAAGAGAGAATGGCTCGGTGAAGGCTGTGATAAGCTCGTCTTGCGTGGGCATGCGCACAACGTACCCAATATCGACTTTAGCCCCTGTGGTCGATACTTAGTATCTTGTTCGATCGGTATGAGCTACTCTGTAGAAACTCTCTTTTGCCAACGTCTGTCTCATCATCCTTTCCTGATCTGTAGATAAATCCTGTAAGGTATGGTACCTGAAAAGTGGAGATCTGGTGTTCTCGAGCAATGTTACGAGCCAGTGGTAAGATCTAACATTGTGCTCCGCCTTGGCCGCTGTCTCACTCTTCTCACGTCTTTATCTACTTGAAGGGGATGGACCGCTCGCTTCGTCTCGCTCCTCTCATTCAAGCCGGTGAAAACGTCTCCAAATCCCAACTCGACAGTCCTTGCAGATATATTATTCCCCAACAACCCGTTCCCGACCATGCAACGCAGTGTCGGTCGAACGAGATCCACCGATACATCTCTGAATGAAGTCGATTATGCAGAAGACTTTGGTGACTTGGAAGAAGACGATTCGAGCATTGACGTCGCTTGGAATCAAGATGTAGATAGCTTACCAGATACCGAAATCGCTGAAGAAGACGACCATCATATAACGGCAGCAGGTATCATACCAGACTTTGATACTGACAATACAGAAGCCGGCATAAACCATGAAGACGCAGATGATTCCTCGTTGGCATCGACGGAAAGTGCCCACACACCTGATCAAGAATCAGAGGAATCCGATGTTCCCGAATACAATACCACGGAATATTCGCCATCCCCCTACACAATTTATATGGAGCAGAATGAACATGAGTGTGAATTGGATTCGTCGACGGATGCTATTCTGTTTACCTCTGCCAACCATCTAGTCTTATTGTCAACTGAGGGGTTGAATCGCTTATACTTCAGTAGTGACGTTTTATCAAGAAACTTTACAGGCCCTCGCATCCTGTCACCATATCTTGAAGCGTTCGGTAAACGCTAACGTAACACGCACCACGACAAAGATCTCATCCTTTTTACGTCTATTTCTAGATCGCTTATGCTTTAGTGAATGGGTCGATGAGCTATCATGTGGGTTTGTTGGATCTCAGTGTGGAGTGGTGGCTATTATCAGAGGATTGAGGTAACGGTCACAAACCTTATGCAGCTGTAACAGTAAGATCCCTTTTCATCTCACAGCTTGTCAATTAGGATTCGCGAGACACAAGACAAACCAGAGAGATTTGTGCTTCATATAGATCGATACTTGCAACCATCAAGCCAACCGATCGTTGGAATGCTTGTACAACGGGTGGTCAATAAGCAGAGCCCTGCGCTGTCTCGGTTTCGGCTTTATGTACTTTTCTTTGATGGGAGGATGTGTATATATGAGCTCAGCAAACCACTAGGGCCTTTAGATATCGAGCAAATTCAAGTGTAGGCAGTAAGATAGCAGCGATATTTTGCATAATTGTATAGTTGTCAAATCACTATAAATCTAATTTAAACGCGAATTGAGTGTGAAACGAGCGTGGGCGTGTTAAAATGGACGTTGAGTGTGTCTTGTCCAACATTAAAAACAGTAAATCACGCAGAGACGCCAAGCAAAGATGTCCAAGGAGAGACTTAGTCTACTAGCCGGGCACCTTCTTCTTGCAAGTTCATGTGAGAATTTAGTGGCTACATTCTCAAACACTTTGAACGAGTAAGAAAACACGCGTTACTCGTTCTGCAAATGTCAAAACCTCCGGTTTTTTAACTTGATAATTTTGTTACGAATAGAGGAGCCAAATTCCAAATTAAGGATACAAAATCAGGAACAAATTATGAAGTGTCTTCTTCGACTGACAAACCGGCTGCTTTTGTCATTGTATGCTGACATCAAACATATGTGTGATGCTTGGAACCCGAAGGCTCAACGCATTTCTTTGACGTAGATTCCAAGAGGAGTCAAGAATGAAAGCTTGACTGTTCTAGATAACAGAACTGGCAAAATCTACGGTACGATTTGTGAAACTTGTGCAAAACGTGATTCTTACTATGAACGGCAACACTTTTAGAAATTCCTATTCAAAACGGTACCGTCAATGCCACCCAATTCCAACGCATCACTGATGGTGGCAGTGAAGGAATCCGAGTCTTTGACGCTGGCTATCAAAACACTGCGGGTAAGTCCAAAGTCGTAACTCTCATTAAGGTCGACCTGACAGCTCAACTTTTGTTAAGTCGCATACTCCAAGATCTGTGAAATCGACGGCGACAATGGTATCTTACGTTACCGTGGATATCCTATTGAAGAATTGGCTGAAAAGTCCAATTATATGGAAGTGTCGTATCTCCTCATCTATGGTGAACTCCCTACGAAAGCTCAATACACGGCTTGGGTCAGTGATGTTCAAAAGCACACATTTGTGCACTCGAAACTGGAGACTTTGATGTCTTCATTCACTCATGATGGTGAGTACTGCCGTTGAAGGCTACGTTGTGTTTGATGGTCGTTTCTGAGTGTTCCATTGGCTCTATTTTCCTCATTTTGTGTTAAAGACAATGCTGTTGCCTCTCATTATATACCTCAAACTCACCTGCATTAACCGTAGCACATCCAATGGGAATGTTTATGTCATCAATCGCTGCTCTTGGTACCTTTGCGCCGGACGGTAATCCTGCCTTACAAGGAAGTGATATCTTCAAAGACAATATCCGTGCGAGGAACAAGCAAGTCATTCGATTGCTGGGCAAGAGCACCACTCTTGCTGCTATGGTAAGAAAACCCCGATTTTGCAGAACGACGAAAAGTCTTGACGCCTTTTCTCTCACTAGGCCTACCGAAATCGAATTGGAAGGAACTTCAATCCACCACGCAACGATTTGACCTATACTGAAAACTTTTTGTATCAATTGGATCATCTTGCCGAACCTAATTATAAACCAAATCCTCGTTTGGCACGTGCTTTGGATGTTCTCTTCATCCTGCATGCTGATCATGAGGTAATGTGATAAAGAGCTCGAACTTGAGTCGATTTGACAAGTGTTTACATTACGGTGTTTTTTTCGCGTCAAGATGAACTGCTCTACTGCAGCAATGAGACACATTGGTTCGTCTCTTGTCGATCCTTACTCTGCAGTAACTGGAGCAATTGCTGCATTATACGGTCCTCTACACGGTGAGACACCTGTCCCATTATTGAAGTAAAACAGCCAGCAAAAAGAAATAACATGACTTGTTTCATCATCTTCATGACCAGGTGGCGCGAACGAAGCAGTCCTCCGAATGCTCGAAGAAATCGGAACCGTAGACAATGTACCCGCATTTGTCGAAGGTGTCAAGAATCGCAAAAGGAAATTGATGGGCTTTGGGCATCGGTAACAAAAGCCCGCCCCCTTTTGGACTCCCATCGAATCCTCGGTTTTTAAAAACTCATATGGTTTTCCCTTTTGATAGAGTATACAAAAACTATGATCCTCGAGCAAAGATTGTTCGTCAAGTTGCATACGAAGTCTTCGATATTGTTGGACGAGAGCCACTTATCGATGTTGCTCTGGCTTTGGAAAAGACTGCATTGTCAGATCCATTCTTTATTGAACGAAAACTGTATCCTAATGTGGATTTCTAGTAAGCGTTGGTGTTGGAGTAAAGTTAAAAGTGTCATTTTAAAAGAGTCTAACATGGCCTCTTTGTTTATAGCTCTGGCAAGTATTCAAAGTCAGCAACGCATCTCAAGACTTCGACATACTGTTCTCTTTTTCTGTGTCTGGGACATGAGAAACTTCCCGATTATGAAATAATCGAACGTTCCTCATAGGTCTTATCTATCGCGCCATCGGCTTCCCAACTGATTTCTATCCCGTGTTGTTCGCTATTCCGCGTGTAGCAGGGTAAGTGCATTCGACAATATTACTCCTCCGTTGTTTTGCTAATGTACGATTCTCCACAGCTGGTTGGGTGAGAAATGACATCCCCTTTCTATTCCTTTCCGATTCCGTTGTTGCTAACATACGCATCTCAAACAGCTCACTGGTGTGAAGCGATGGACGAGAAAGATGGAAAGAGTAAGCAACTTGTGGCATACTGATAGTGATGAGGCTTGACAACTCAATGTTCTATTTTTCATCTAGTTTGGAGACCTCGCCAAGTATACATTGGTGAAGGCAAACGTTCATACGTTTCAATGCAAGATCGAGGCAATTCCAGTGAATTGAATCCACGTACATTGTCGCTTGGATCCATTTCTTCAAAACGTTCTTCAGTTGCCAGTTGGGATGGCAAGAAGGCAGTATAAATGGCTTTTTGTTTTACAAAGAGTGTGTCTTTGGGAGTTGTGGTTGTTTAAAGTATCAAAATCAAAACATGAATATCAAATGATATGATCTCCTCTTGGATCGTTTTTTTGCCTCAGTGCCTCAGCGATTTTACATTTCGAATCGTGTCCGTCTGAGGACGAAAAACCCAAAACCATGTTGATATCATGACGTTTATGTATTGCTGTTAACTTATGCTACTTATGATACTTGCATATATAGACATCTCTTTTCTACAATACCCATACTTGCCTCCCATTACATCGTCTACAAGACACAAACAGTCCCACATTCTTTGCTTGTTGATCAACCAAAACTTCCTCTTCCTCCTCCTCTTCTGCAATAACTCCACGCCTAAGACTCTGCATACTCATGTTCACACTATTGATACTCTGCATACTCGCATAATTATTCCCACCACCCAAACCATCATACTGTAAAGTCCCCATCAAATATGATTCAACCACCTCTTCAACCTCTTCACACCGTCGTTGCCATTTCGCAGCAAGACTTCTCATCTCCTGGATTTGAAGCGTGGCATCTACGTATCGAGATACGAGAAGTTGAGGGTTGACAGCTTCCACCTCGTTTTGGGTACCACCTATAAAGAGATTGACGGTACTTTTTCGAGATGGTAGCACGGTGGATCCCTTTCGTGATGGAGAGCTAGACATAGGTATGCCGTTACTACTGTTATTGGTATTATCTGATGATGGTTTGTTGACGGGTATTGCACTAGCAGATGAGTGAATCAAGAGTTTCTTGATTTCAGATAGAGATATTCGAGTGGCTGCTAGTTCAGTGCATGCGGCGTCATATTTTGATTGCAGGTCGGTGTACTTGCTCATCAATCCCAGCTTGTTGCTTATTGATGCGAAGGGTTTACCACTACCACTAGTGTCCATCAACATAGCTTTGATAGTACTCAACCGCATAAACCCATTCAAATTATCGGTTTGGATAGATTGCTCTCGTTTCATGCTACCATCACTAGACGATGGAGCCGACGTAATCAATCCTTCGATACGAGAATGTTGAACATCCAGCATATTATGAGCATCCGATAGCTGTCTACCGATATCCTGGATTTTCGATAAAGCTGTCTTGATCCATCCAACGATATCAATTTGAGGGATACTTTCATTCCACTCCTCATTTGGACCGACATCAATATTAAGTATAGCTCTAGACATCCATTTGCGTTCATCGCTTAGTTGCCAATAGTCCATCTGTAGTGCATCATACTCCTTTTTCAGCATGGCGGAAGCCTCTCGTATATGCGTCAACTCTTTATGATAGGTTTCTATATCTTGTTGATAGGATGCAATACGGGTTTTCGCGGCAGTCAAGTCCGTCAGTAGTTTACTTATAGGTTCAAATCGAGCCTTCAGAGCAGCGTTTTCCGCACGAACTTGAGTCAAATCACTGCTCGTCTGGTTTATCCGATGCTGAAGCTCGGATATCAAGCCTGCATCTTCTTGACTAGTGAGAGCCAATAACTGATTATCCGATTCCACCAGTCGCTGCTGTAATACTTGATTTGCAGCAGACAACGAAGCAACCGTCTGTTGCAATGCTGATAACTCTGCCTCGAGCTGTAGTACGATCGGTGGTACTTTAATAGGTTGACCACTTTTGACGACCTTCAAAACATCGTTTTCTATACTGAGATCATTCACCATAGCATCCAGCTTAGCATTATCCGCCAACAAACTACGTAATCGTTCCTGTAACATGGTAGTGACTATTTCAAATTCCTGTATCTGAGCATTTAAGGCACTACGTTCGTTATGCCATCGTGCCCATGCTTCACCATGCGTAGAGCTCGCCATCAATTCATGTTCTGACTTTATATACTGATGCTCTTGTATCAGCTCTTGATACTGGCGAGTTATAGTCGATAATTCAGACTCGTATTGGAATCGAAGCAAATCCACTTCTTGTAAGTGTTTGGATTTTACGTCATTTTGATGTGTAGAAAGCTGGGCTTGTAGCTCGGTAATAGTCTTTTCCAAGATAGAGATATCTGTTGCAGTTTGCGGTGTTGCTGCTTCTATATGGTGTGATGGAGCTTTTGATTGGTCACTATGGGCTTTGGTTTGTTCTGACATGAGTGCCCGACTATAATCTAAAGGCCTGCTATTACTATTCTTAGAAAAAGAATCATCGTCTATTTGAGCAGTACTCGTCGATTCGACAAGCTTGCTGCTACTACTCGTACAATGATCAGCACTGGGACTGATCCTACTATGAGCAGCAACAATAGCTTCCAATTCGTTGACCCGTTCCTGCAATGCTTTGACTTGCATCTTCTCCTCATCAGTATCATGCTCTGTCATAGCGCTAGACGATGTAATCCCATTCTGAGCTGTAGCTAGAAGGGCGTCCAGTTCCGCTACTCGTTGTTGAAGCAGTTTGATCTGTACTTGTTCCTGCATACCACTTGCAGACGACGTAGCTGACGTGCCTGCAATAACAGCACGTAGTATAGCGAGTTCCGCATCTCTAAAATGTAGTTGCTGTCTCAAATACATTTCGTTGGTATTGTTTGTTGATTTAGATTCCAGCTGTAGAGAGTCTAGATTACTGAGTACTCTATTACGTGCCTGATCTATAATATTGGACGCTGGCGAAGCGGTAGTGCTAATCTGTTGTTGTGATAGTGAGGTATCATTCGATTGTTGGTTTTGACTTGCGGTATTGTAAGATCGAGTGCGTTTGATACTCTTTCGTTCAATTTGCCTAAAGAATGCAGTTTTGCCTGATGAGGATGGTGCATTCCCTCCCGCGTGTAATCTCGTTGATTGTCCAATGTATTGTTGGGTAGTTGATGTTGCCAACGATGGTATAGGCGAAGGAGAAGAGGATGGAGGAGCAAGGAGGAAGTTCATATTGGGAGCTAATGCCACATAATGCCGGTGTGTATTGTTGCTCTTTTGTTGGAATTTGCGCAACTACGAGGTTTGGTACAGTTGGCATTTGATCAAAGCATGGCATGTATGATATCATACCTTCTTCCTGGCCAAGGCAAGCTTCACTTGGCGATCTTCCATCCTACATATACCAACTGTTCGCCTGCTTACAATCTATTGTCTATCTCATGAAATTTGGTGTTTTGCTCAATGGTTAGATGATCATGAGGAAGGGTGACAGAGCAGACAACCTAGGACGTGTAATTTGAGTTCGTTTCATAATGGCATTACGAAGGATTCTTTCTCCTATAATATCCACTCTTGTTACTTCAGAAACAGCCTTGCATCTGTCGCAAAATGCCGCAAACATAAGACGAGTGATGCACAGCTCACCACATGTAGTGACTATGTACTTCGAATCTTCAGATGCATACTCATACCTCGCAAGTCAGTCCTTGCGTCGGTTGATAGAGCTGTTTGATGTAAGACTCGACATCAAACTCGTTCCTATGCCCGACGCTACCGGAATCGTGGACCGAGAAAAGCATGATACTTACCAGGTAAAGTCATTGCTGGGACTATTTGTCGAAGATTTGACGCTGACGATTAACTGTAGAGACGTGATTGCTCTGTCTTCGCTCCTAGTTTAGGACTTGACTTTCCAGAGCTAGCTCACCTACCAACTACCGGTGAAGTCCTACTGGCAAACCGTATTCTCGCTCTCGCTGAGCTCAACAATATGGAAACAATTCAGAAGATTGAGCTTTTCACAAAGGTCTTCAAAACTCTCTGGTATGGTTGATTATTGACCCGTGTCATAGACAACTGACTTATCACGATCCTCTTCTATTTTCGCAAAGGCATGGTGATATTCAGGAACTAGAAGCCCTCGCTATGCGTCACGGCATGCAGAGTGAAGATGAGACCAACAGGCTGCTTAAAGCCAACTTTGAACTCCGAGATAAAATGGGTCACTACCTTGGAGCAACTTTAACATATGGCGGATCTTGGTACTGGGGTGTTGACAGAATCGAGTTCCTATCTGAACATCTATTCAGAATGGGAGCACATAGGGATAAAAGCTTGAAAGCTGCTCCAGTCGTCCTTCCACGCAACCCATCATTGCTCAGGCTACCTGCCATAAATAAAGGAGACGAACACGAGCAGTTTGTAGAACTCTTCTTTGGTGTTAGATCCCCGTACTCTTCTCTAGCACTCCCCTGGATTGTCGCCCTCTGTAAAAAGCACAACTTCCCGTTAAAGGTTCGAATAATAGCCCCCATGGTAACTCGAAACGTGCCTCTATCTCCGCAGAAGTCACGTTATATTATGCTGGACGTGGCTAGGAATGCCAGGTTGAATAAAATACCATTTGGAACTATAGTCGATCCATTACAAACATGGTCCGGTGTCGCAGCTATATATTATGCAGCATTACGAAAACTAGATCGTAAGCAGGCGGTTGATTTCGCTTGTGCTGCTATGAATGGTATATGGGCTAGGGGTGTTGATGTGGGGCAAGAGGGTAATCTGATTGCGTTGGCTGCCCAAGTTGGTATTAGCTCATCGTTTGTGAAAGAGGTTCTGAAGGAAACACTTGCTTTGGATATGCCAGAGTATAAGAAGGAGACGATGAAAGCTGTAGAGGAGGTATACTCGTTTTCTCTTTGGGGGTCTCCAACATTTAGATTAGGTAATGTTGCGTTGTGGGGACAGGACAGGATTTGGATATTGGAGGAGATGCTGGCTAGACGAGCCGCGCAAAGCAAATTGTAAATCTAGTATTGGCAACCATTGTAGAGATCTTCGATGCTACTAAAACAGTGTCGGAGACTTCAAATAGAATTTCCAACGAGAATTATTGCATAACAGCAATACCCTTTACAGCCTTCTCTACTCGTTTCTTGATTACTGATAGATCTTCGTAGCGAGGGGGGCTTATCAACCACAAAACGTTTGGTGATCTGACCACCAAATTCACATTCTCCTTCAACCTCAAGTAGCGGTACACGTATTCCTAAAGCACCTCGAGCCCTCAATCCAGCGAGAAGAGCAGCACCATCCGAAACATAAGAACAGACACCCCCATTGTATTGCGGACATTGAACTTTTCAAACAGACTATGCCATCATATAATGGTTGGGTGTCCAGGTGTAATCCAGAGCGATTGAGCCATTCGAGATTCGGGCACATAGATATAACCAGTGAGGGATCAAAGATTGGACTACATTCGGGAGTTTATCGGGTAGAAGTAGTATAGCGAGTTTCTGCAGTTGAGATCCTCGAGCTCCAATCGATTTTTTGGATCCAGCTTGGACTGCTTTTTGAGCAGTCAATCGTATGTCAGTCAGACCGACAGTACTCGATAATGCTGGGGCAGCAAGAATGACGAATGGTCGTATCTAAGTAATTCGCTGCCGTTGAAGAGGTTCAGCGACTTGAGAGTGGTGCTGTGAGTCTTTATAGCGTTTGTGAGGAACATACATGGTTCGCCCTCTAGGTCTAGTCGAATGAGTCCTAGAGCTCCTATGCCACTACGGAGATGCAACGTAATGTTGACATTGAATACGTCTTCCTTCATGAGGATTTGGTTCAAGGATTTAAAAACGTCTATATCGGACCTATCCACTTCTTTGTTCAACAATTTTGCAAATCCTTAGTGCTCAAAGTGCTCCAAATTTTTGACTCAAGAATTCCAATACAGACAGCACCGAGACATATTCATGTCCAAGTCCATTGCCTTGAAGTGCAAAGCTAGACACGAATAATTCTACCAGAAGTGCGGAACCAACCGTCATGGTCAAACCATTCCAGATACCAAGGAGACTGAGTTTGTAGATACCAGGAGCAACATTTACCAATTCGCTTCGTANNTACGAAGCGAATTGGTAAATGTAGCTTAATTTCCAAACTCGATACACCTTCCTCATCTTTGTCCTCATCTTGAAGTTCTGGGGGTGAATCAATCCAATACTTATCAAGGTTTCCAAAGTCTAGAGTCAAGGATGTAAGGTTGGAAGACCAATCGGACAAGTCCAAGAAGTCAAAGTTGGGGAAATTGAATGATACATGCAAGTTGACCAGGTTTACAAAGGGAGCGAAGCCTCCTACGTCGCTGAGCTCAGTAGTAAATACTTCCAGACTAGTAATATGATAAAGACTGTGCTGGTAGTATAGTCCTGGTTTGCGTGCTGCGAATGCTACCAAAGCATCTTGAAATTGAGAATCAACCGTCCTATATTTGCCAATCATATCGATTGACTTGTGTGATAGAGAAGTGACTTTTTGGTTCATGTCTTTGCATATACGACTCATGTTTGCGGTCGCCCTAAGCTGTTCATCCTTGAGGAGAACTTTTTAGGGAGACCATGAGCGGACCCATGCCACAGTTCAATTGGTAGACATGAGCACTCATACGTGGGCGTATCTGTGTTTTCCGTAGCTGTGACGAACTTTGGGCAGTTATTCTGCTTACAACAGTCTTTATGTGAATGAAAATGCTTCGAAAATTTGCAAATTTCAAAAGTACATCAACGTTTGGACCGTTACATACTAAACCTCCACGATTCACAGGTTGGCACGCGATTTACCGTCATGTCAATAAGAATCTATTAAAAAACACGTATGTGGCACCCAACACACCTCTTAATTGCTTATTGCGGCGAGACATTGACTCTCATTTTGCCCAAACTTCAAACACCCCACTTCACTCAGTGAAACTTTCAATATCCTGGCAGGCTGGACAAGATGGAAGCAAGGTTCGAATTGGTTGTCCAAAAGGGCCGTACGCACTGTATGGCATCTACAACTATCAGAGTCTGTGTGATGTTTCTTTTGGTGATTTTGCTGTTTGCTTTCATGCAAGTTGGATTTGCGGTTTCATATAAAACGCCCTTAAACTTTCCGACGCATAATCCACTAATGCCGAAAGAAACGGATATCGAGCGTATTCGGGCTCATTTTGCAGATGTTGAGGTGAGTGAACATCTCAATTACTTTTGAATCACAGTCTGTTTTCTATTCTCCATGACCTTGAATGCAGCCCAAATCGTCACTGATTGTAATCTTAGGTCATCATGAACTTCAACGGTGCCCGAATACTATTCAAACATACCCCACATTCGCGAACTTTACGGCCGAATATTCGAACGTCTGAGGTTTTACGGCAAACCTCCGCTTAGTGCCATTAATGCTACGATCAGAGTGGTAGACCAAACCACTTTTGTAGAACCTACAGCCTGGGATTCCTGGTTTTACGTATATAGAACACTAGTCGCTGGGATGCTTGACTACCCAAATGCTACTGGGTATATATATACGAATGACGATACATTTATGAACTTTTGGAGTCTGGCTACATTGGATAAGAACAAGATATGGTATGAAGAGGCCTATGATGTTGCGGATCTTGATCAGCCGTGAGTGTGGTCGCGGAACAACTACGTATTGAGCGTATCGTGCAAATCTGTGTGCTGACTATTACATGAACTGAATGCAATTTAGACCGAAATCTGGATGGTGGTGGTGGCCTGTTGTATCATCCGAATGCAAAGCAGCAATCTCAAGGTTCCCGTTAGCGTGGAGAAACAGATTAAATCAAGCAGCTACAGCCTCACGTCTTTTAAACCATATACCAACAATGGGAGCAATTGGAGCAATGTCAGACTTTGTGTATGTTCCCCGTCGTCTTCGTGACGATTTCATTAAAGCGTTGAACATTATGGCCGAAGACGGATGTTTTTTGGAGATAGCTATCGCTAGTACCGTTTATGGGGTGGAAAACTATACAGATTTTGAACTCTTAAAGGCACTTTATCTGTGGGATGATGATCGAAATCATGTCACAGAGTTCCTTGCTGGGAATATCACCCACGTGCTTCATCCCACAAAGCTGTCTGATCCTGATTTGAGAGGCTTTTTGAAGCACTACTTGTATGAACTGTATGAATTAAGGTATTAATGTAGTTATATGCTGACTCTGTAAAATATGATCAGAAGGGGTGTGTTGTAAGTGATTTGAACATAAGATGGAAACATAAGGGTTTTAAGCTCGTTTGTGTATAAATCGTAATCCGAATAGAAACTGTTCAAAGAAAAGTAGGTCGATCAATGGCTTGTCACAATTTGCGAGGTGTTTGCGAGATCAAATCACGATATGATACATCTGGAGTACGCTCATGTTCAATATATGCCTACCAAAACGAATTGGCATCGCGTCGAAACACATTCTTGCCAGGATATATCTCGGTCTCCTTTAGTTATCAACTTTTTTCCAAACTTCGATTGTTGAACGGCAAGAAGACTTAAGGGAGGTTAGTAGTACGTGGATAATCAGCCTAGTTCAACCATCTCTAGCGCTGTACAGTGTTCATTACGATGGAAGGAGCTATAGAAGGAAGTGTAGAGGCCGTGACGTACAATTGGAAGAGATGGAGTCCCCAGGGAAAGCGCTGGGTTGTTGATAGTAAGCTAAATAAGCATTGTTTCTTGCATTTATCCTCTTGCTGATCTGACTCTTTTTCTCCCATCTACACTCTACTTTCATCACTCATCAAACGCCAACATCAAACCCGCAACATCAAACAACATCATCATTCAAACCAGTCGCGATCTTTGCTGTCTCGCAAGTCGTGCTATATTTCGGGGTACAATTCATACTATCCGCTGCAAACCCATTATCAAAGCAGAGAGAAACGTCTCGTCAAAAGTCGGCTGCTGTATTCAAGAGGATGGGATGGAAGGATTTGAAGTTGACTGAGCATGAAGAGATCATCGCCAGTGAGATTATACACCCAGAGGATATTCATGTCACGTAAGTGTGTGTTGTGTGTGAGAGGAAGACCCCTGTGTGTTGACTCGTGTTTATACTTTAGGTTTAAAGGTATTTGTCGAGTTTCCAGAAATCCCACTAGCTCTCTTCGTATTCAATTGGACCAACCGAATGATTTGCGTATACAGATATTGGGGGCCTCGATCTCATCGTGGATTCACTTAAAGAAACTGTGATCTACCCATTGGTCTATCCACAGCTATTTTCATTCGCTCCTGCTTTATTGGCTGCTCCAAAAGGTGTATTGCTCTATGGACCCCCTGGTATGCAGACTCTGTGAACTTGTTGAACCAATACTCGATTGACTCGCAAGCATCTCTGATAGGGTGTGGTAAGACCATGCTTGCAAAAGCATTGGCAAAGGAGAGTGGAGCGACGTTTGTTAACCTGCACATGTCCACCCTTACTGAGAAATGGGTATGTGGTTTAGCACTGAAGCTCTTTAAAACATTCAAATTCATTAACCTGCCGGTCTCTCGTTATACTAGTTTGGTGAATCACAGGTTTGGACAAATAACACGGAATTCCTCATCTCGTTTTGGTCTCTCACTCCCTCTCTTTCATTAGAAACTGGTCCATGCTATATTCTCACTAGCCAAACGCCCTGAAATACAGCCCACTATCATATTCATTGACGAAATCGATGCCTTCTTAAGGTCACGGCAGAGTCGGGATCATGAAGCTACGTCTATGATGAAGGCTGAATTCATGAGGTATCTTCGATAAAGTTATTCTTTTCTTTGACACGAACAGCTGAACTTAACATGTTTTTGTGTAGTTTATGGGATGGGTTGGCTACTGGATCCGATATGAGAGTTCTGGTGAGAAACTTTATCGACGTCTACCCTTGCTCTTTTTGGCTCTTGTTAAATTTCCAAACCCTCAACTCTCAGATTCTTGGAGCTACCAACCGGCCACAAGATATAGACAAGGCCATTCTGAGGAGAATGCCAAAACGCTTCTCGATCAAGACGCCGGATCCTAATCAGAGAAGAAAGATATTGACTTTGGTAAGAGAATCGGAAGATCGTCTATATCGTCGACCAGAAATACGGTGTTGAGCCCTTGTTTATTCGTCATTAGTTGCTCAAGGATGTCTCCCTGGATTCCAAATTCCAAGTCGAAGATGTAGTGACTAGAACAGAGGGGTATTCTGGTATGTGTCTGACGATGCAAAAAAGAGAATGCTATGCAGAATTATGCGTTGGAACGCAACACAGCTCATCTTCCTCTCCATCCTAATTTGTAACATTCTATAGGTGCCGATTTGAAGGAACTATGTCGTAATGCACTCATGGTTCCCGTACGAGAATCCATAAAGGGCCTCGGAATGAATGTTGCTCAAATTGATGTGAAATCAATCAGGGTTCGCCCGGTACAACTATCAGACTTTGAAGAGTTAGACCAAGTCGTTACAAACAACTTGGAGGGTATCCCTGATTGGGATTAATCTAGAAATCCCAGTAGTTTTTTTTGCATTTGGTTGTTATTTAAGCTACCTTACACAAATATAGATTAGCTACCGACTACCATTTGGTGTTTTTTGATGTTGGTGATGAAGAAAGATATTCAATCGATGCAGGCAGCCACTGCTAATGATGGTGTATATCGTTTCACACACGGGGTGTGGTAGATACCTGCTAGCAACAGCATTGGCAAAGGAAATTGGAGCTACAGCTGCCAACTTGAACATGTCGATGCTTACTGGGCAAGTACACAAATTGTGGATGCTTCTGACGTTTACAGCAATTCATCAACCTCTCCCTACATACTGGTTAATAGTTTGACGAACCATAGGGTTTGACCAACAATAGTTGTCGATCGGTTAGGATCCTTTTTTTCTGCCTTCAACCAACGCACCGTCCCATGGAGAACTTCGTCGATGCTGTATTCTGCTTATCCTGAAGCACTGACATACAGCCCTCTACTTGTATCCATCGACGACATCGATACTTTCTTGAAGTCACGGAACAGTAGGGACCATGGAAGCTACGTCTATGATGACAGTTGAATACAATCCATCTGGCTTATATAGTAGTTTATGAGACGAGTTTGACTGCTGGATCTGATATGAGAATTCTGGTAAGAACAATCCAAGATCCATATTCGGTCCACTTTTAATTCTCTTGTTTGAAACCTCATGAATCTCCCACAAGATTAGACAAGACCTTTTTACGAAGAACTCCTAAACAATTTCCTATCATGACATCGGATTCTAACGAGAGAAGAAAGATATTACTCTGGTATGGAAGGGATTGTGAACAAGTTAGGTGGATGCAAAAAAAGGCTCAAGGATGTCTCGTTGGATTCCAAATTGCAGGTGTAGGATGAAACCGAGGGGTATTCTGATACTTGAGCATGAGAACGCAAAATAGAGACGCTGTGGGTGAATCCTCAGGTCACCGAAATCGATGTGAAGCCAAACCGGCTTTGACTGGTAAAACTACTAAACACTCGCAAAAACTTACGTGTTTGAATACCCCACATCCTTGGCATGACGAGTCTGAGCTTGACGTTATTTATTTGTAGATTGTGGGACGCCTTCGTTGTCACGAGAGTTCTGGTGAGGACCAAACAGATGTTGAGACAGTTTTTTTGACTCATGTCTAAATCCTTTCAAACCTCCTCTGATTCTCAGAGCTACGAATCGCCCACACGACATAGACAAGGCTAGTTCAAGTACAACACCTGAACGATTCTCTATGAGGACGCCTGGTTCCGACTCAGAGAAGAAGAATATGAATATTGATTTCGATATGGAAGAACAGATGGGGTTGGAGCGTTCGTGGTGAAGCCGAAAAACGCAGTTTCGTGACATTTGGATTCCTCGTCAGAGGCTCAAGGATATCTCACTGGATGTTCAATTTCAAGTCTGAGATGTAGTTACAAGAACAGAGGTGCGTCTTGATAGTTTACGTTGGCCATACAAGCAAAAAGTGGAAAGTCAGCTCCATTTGTTGGAAATCAAAGCGGTTCAAATTTCCATCCTTTACAACGATCAACCACCTACCCCAACTCACAATAGGCTTGACCGAACTAGGCAATGCTCCTGTGGTTCCCGTCATTTAGAAGATATCGCGGATTGGCATTGATTGAGATAATTATTCTTTTCTGGCGTTTGGTTGTTTATTTAAGCTACCCAACTACGAATATATGTTTTCTATGGTTTATGATAAAGAGAGGGATTCAACAGATGCAGACAATGACAATGATGGTGCTTCTTCTGCTTGCTCCTTGCTCGCCAAATCTTTGGCTTGAGCCCATGGCGTCAACACTTCTAGCAATGAAGTCGTGTCTCCGGCAGTCACTTTCTGATTAGCAACTAGTAGACGAACATCAAGAGCCCGTAACACTTGGTTCCAGAATGCGGGCACCTCTTTTAGGAGGATGCATGAAAATGATACAGCTTCCAAGTGAGAATGCACGGTAATCATTTTGGCGATGACTTCTGATGTTGTTACTTCTGAGGGTGTGCCGACGTATGTTCTAAATGAAGAAACGTAGCGTTAGCGAGAAAAAGCAGCAATTTGCTTCGATTTAGGAGGCTTTTTTTTGCTAGAGATCAAATCAAAAGGCCGCTCACTGTATATGTTGTATAATATCTGTATATCGTTTCGTTACAATCAAGCAATCCAAGACCTGAATGGAGGAGAGTCAAGGAGTAAGTAAACTGTTGCGCCCAAAAAAGAAACCGAAACACTAAATTAGATACCTTGTCAAAGACATGGCCTCGCAAGTAGATTGAAGCCGCGAATTGAGGTTCGACAGGGAAGAACAAGTCTCCTAACTCTTCATTACACTCTGCTCGTCTAGACACAATCAGATTCCAGAATTGCGTAAACGAGTTTCTCTTGAGTGCTTTTCGAGCTGTGCATAAAACGAAGAGTCAGTAGAGTGTATGCATAGCCCAACAAACCATTCAATCACATACCCAACTCCATAGCTTCAAAGTTAACCAAAAAGATAGCCTTCGCAACAGCAACACCCAAATAATGATTCCAAATCATTTCAGCATCTGAGAATTCAAGCACTCGTGCTCGAGATTCACATAATCCTTTAAACCGTTTCAAAAACGCATCGGTTCGTAACGCTACACCGTCTTCTTCAGTAAGCACTAGATCACACGCCCATTCCCAATCTCCATCGATAATGAGTTGTTCAACGTTTGCTCTCATGAGTGATTGTTTACGTTGTGATTGTAGGAGGGGAGCTGCAGCTCGTTCGAGGAGTTTGAGGATGCTTGTTGACGAATGACGACGGTGGAAGATCGAGTCCCATTCGAGCCAGTTGGTGCGATGAAAGGTGGCTAGTTTGAAGAGGGCAGCTTGAATGTTTGGTTGGCCTTGTAGAGCACCTAAGTTCACAACAACAAAAAAGCAGGCAGTTCAGAAGACAAGAAGAACATAGAATTCAAACTTTCTCTTTACCTATTGGATATCCAACAGCCTCAACCTGTTGTAGTACGGTGTAGTAGAGGTCATCACTAGGTTGAGTTTCATATCGTCCTCTCATTTCAAGGCGAATGTATCCGCCAGATACTACAAATGGTCCTACAGGAAAATACTGCCATTCTGGCAAAATAAAGATGGCATGAGTAGCAGTCTACTGGGGTTTTTGCGATTCCTCCCTTGCAACCTACCATTAACATTTCGAACTTTGAACTCCTTGCTAACAAAAGCCATGCATTCCGAATCTCGATGATATCCAATACGTATAGTCAAATATCGAGGAGCATATGTTGGCAACCTAAGAAGACAAGAATTTTGTTGGCGACAAAAAAGCGAGCGGCTTACTCTCTGCGTGAAGACTCATTCATACCTTCTCTGAAAAGCAGCTCTAAACGGAATAATCCTAACCCCAGTTACGATGCAAGCAGGCTGTATCATCTGATACACCAAATACTCGCTCGACAATGGATCCTGCGCCCCCTTTGACGACCAAAAAGTATGTCGTGATTCATTCAACGTTTGTGATATATCCTGACTCCAAGTATTTGCTCCTCCACCGTCTTCAGTAGACGCTTCTATACCCGTCATGAGTAAGGAAATTGGTTCTTGTTGGAGTCTAGATGAGAGGTCGAGGAGTTCCCGAAAGCATTTTTTGGGATGATCGAATATCTCAGGTGTTTTAATCTTTAGGGCGTGTCGGGCGGCTACTACGGATGCTGGCGTGGTAGGAGTAGTAGGAAAGCTGGTGCTGCTGCCAGCTTTGGAGTCTGGTTCGTTAGGATTTGGTGTTTGCCGTGATGGGGAGTTGGTGACCGAGGCTGGGACGGTGTATTCTTTTGGAAGCCGTAGTTTGACTTGGTCCTCGATACGATTCAGCCACGACCACCATAAGGAAGGTGTCTCCAGTAATTCATGCCAGTCGCGAGATACTTCATTTAATGTGAAAATGTCAGATTTTAATCAAACACTTAAACTGCTGTATATTTGGCCATTCTTACCTCTGGAGAGAGCTGGAAAGTCATGCTGGCAATGCTCCAGACACTGCAGCACTAGCTCAGATGGCAGTACTTGTAATGGGTCCATACTGCCTGTTTTCGAAAGTTGCTTGGCTAGTATTGGAGGCGTTCAAGAGTGCGTGAGAGATGCAACACGAAGTTGGAAGCGAGCTGCTGTTCAATTCATTCAATATTTGAGCCAAGTTTGTAGATCTGCAGATTTATGTAGGGTGGAAACACGGATTCAAGATTCTTGATATACCCGTTTTTGGCGTTTTAGGATAACCACCTTTATATCACGACGATTTACAAGATTGTATAATTGTATGATGAATACAAATTTATAGAAACACGTTTAACACGGGTTGATTAAGCGGCAAAGTGTCCGAGTTTTCTTACTTGCAGGCCTTGGAGGATGCTGCTAATCATAGAAATATTCATGAGCTCTTCATCGAGTCAAACTGTGGATTCTGAGACATAAGCTACGTTAGGCTCTAGCAGGGAGAGTCAAAGACGGTCCCTTTGTATCTCAGCGACAACTCCACATTTCGTACACAAGGACGCCTCATGGGTCTCGAATGTAGTCTCATGAAGTCTACCCTGAGTCTCTTGCTCAAGGTATCTGTCTGACTACGTGTTTGACAATCGGTCAGCTCTTCTGCCGAACAAAAGATTGAGCGCCGCTTTTAGATTTGAGATTTATGCTCACCTCTCCTCATGCTAGTAGTCCCGGTGAATCTGTGTGTTCCACACGTCTGCGTTTGCGGGATCCCAAGCTTCGACTTGAGAGAAGACCTTCAAGTCTTTTGGCGTCAATATATAGAGGTGATGAGGTCTGTAGGCTATTTCAAACCCGCCGATTCTTACTGCTTTCAATCTCTCACTTCCTGCTACTGGGCCTTTACTATTATCCTCCTTTATACGGGGTAATACCAACTCCTTCAAGTCTTCGACTGTCACACCCTCGTCTACATGCAGACTAATATCCTTCAGGTTTGGCAAAGATGGAAGGCACAATAGCTTTATCATTTCCACATCAAAGTCAGTATAGCCACCGACCCAGAGAAGTGTAAGGCGGGTGCATGACTCAACAATCACTCTCACAGTACCGACATTGAGATCTGTTTTAATATTTTCAAAGAGGTCAATGCTCCTAACCATGGAAGACATATTCTTAAATCCTTCTGTTTCCAGTTCAATGTAGAGAGACTTTCTGTTACGGAGGTTCTATTTCGGAGGCCAGGTTGATTGATAGGTTGATTATTATCAGCACCACCGAACAAATCTACGAACGTTTCCAGGGTGACCGTTTTCAAAGTCGGATGATAAAAGACGGTAGATAGTGTCGAGAGTTCCAGATTGACACCAGTGCATTTGAGAGAATGGAGACTTGGGCAAGCGTTGAGCAGTTGGCACACTACATCTTCCTTTGATGGCATGAGTACATGCAGTACCTGTAACCTATCAAATTTACGATCAAGGTCTTGGTCTCTACGAAGAGCGATGGACCAATTTTCTGTTTCCAAGACTTCGAGATTCTGTACAGACGAGACCAAACCATCCCATGTTGCGTTGGTAAGCTTCATGTTGTAAAGATATAGAGTTTTCAGTTTCGTACAGGTCGAGAGCCATTCAGTGCTGGCATTGTAGCCAGAGCGCAAGATCTCGATGTTAGGCATGGGCCCCAAGTTCACAGGTTGTCGTCCGTCCCTAAATCTATCACTTTGATTGGCCCCATCGATTCTGCAGTCTATTACGTTGTTCCAGACTAGTCTGGATCCTGTAATAGCGGCTTCAATCTTTGCTAATTCCGAGCGCTCGAGGCTGAGCTTCACCCGATGCAATTGATTGCATAGAAAAGGCAACACCCTCTGCCAAATCTCGTTAGGCCAAATGACCTCTTCAAGATCTAAATATTGTATATTTACAGCAGCCATTAATAATTTGACTACTGCAGTTCGGTTCAACAGTCTTTCTTGGTCGTAGATGGCGAGTTCACGGATGGCATTGGCTCCATACGAAGGAACCGGTCTCTCGGTCATGGAAGCAAGCAGGCCGTAGTTGTCCGTGAATCTGCTATAAAGCCCAATAGAAATATCTCGCCAACGCCAAGGCAAGACGACTAGAGCTATCTTTTTACATGTAAGAGCCAATGGGCGCAACTTGTTTGGCGAAGGACTACACCACACATCAATGCTCACAAAATTGATGACTATCCAGTCAGCAATTTTTTGTAATATCTCTACTGGTAGACCGGTCAACGTCGGAGTTTCCTTCCACAACGGATCATCTGGCGTTGATGGATTCATAGTCCTGGAACCTGCACTCGTTTGATATTGTTAAATTCAAAATCCATACTCCATTACAAGCAACAAGATCTGCTCTTACCAGATGGATGTTGATGGGTTTGTGATTTCTGATGGCACGTGAAGAAACTATATACTAAGCCTGGTAGAAGTGATTGAATGAGTGGATAATGTCTGTTTGTAGTGTATCCACTACAATAATTACTTGCAAGCACGCGAACCACTCGAAGGGTGAAACTTACAAAGAAAGAAAAAAGGCCGATGCGTTTTGAAGACAAGGTGACTAGACTTGCCAATAATTAAAGTCAACCACTTAGTTTCAAAGATACGATGCTCCGATTACTGCTACTAATTCGACTAGAACCTCAAAGGTGCATAACAATGCCACTTTGTGAATGTTGCAAAGGTACGAGTCCGCTGTAGCGAGGAACGTGGGAAGCTCAACGATGCAAAGAAGCAAACACATGTAGTCAGGAGATATAAAATGTTCTTTTCTAACTTTACGATAACAAAGAGCTACGATTAACACAATCCCATCAAGCGCGTCATGATGGTAAGATCCAAGTGTCCTCAACTGTCAGTCCTCCGTAGTTCCTTAACATTGAGATCCTTAACATTTAGCAGTTGCACAGTAGCATCGCAAGCGAGTCTGAGATCTTACCGTCGATTTGAGAAAATCGCCTAAACCACTACCCTGACCAATGTTGATACCTATGTATTAGCGCAAACCGTTAATATGGAGACAATTGCTATCATTATACCAAAGAGACAAACCCAGGCCTCTTTCTCCGACGTTGCGTCCAGTATTTGTACACAAGGACGCCTCATGGGTCTCACGTGCAGTCTTATGAACTCTTCCCTGAGTCTCTTGCTCAGGGCCCTCAGGGCGTCTGTCTACCTACTCGGGTAGCAGTGTTGGAATGAAACGTGCTTTGCATGGAATTGGCTTGTCGGCAAGATACACCGTTGTCAAACATCTCCACATTTTACGGCGAACAGTAGAGAAGTTAAAAGACTAACAGGATGAAACACAGATATCTCAATTTGTAATGGCAATAGCCAACAAAGTTGTCTTTAAGACACACAGTGACAGAGCCCTTGAAAAGCAAAATCAAGTTCCACTGGTGGATGTAAAGCTGCACCAACATTAGATATTATGAAAGCAGGGAGGATATTGCCATTTTCAATCTTCTTCATGAACGCTAGATCCAGTATCTACAGAATTGCGGCCTTCCTCGCTGCTTGTAATTCGACCACCTGAAACGCCTTTGACCGACGATGGGCGACGAGCAACCGAAAGCATGAGATCCTTGTTTTGTTTGATTCCTTTTCCAAATTTCTGCAGCATATTTACAAACGTCAGGTGCTTGGAATTGATTTCCGCAAAGAGCGATCGGCTGTCCAAGCATCCAGATTTGAGTCCACTGAAATCAAATTCGCGAGCTTTAGCCATTTGTTCTCGAAGGATACGAAAAGTTCGGATGAGGAGTAAGGCGAGCACAATAATAAGCAAGGCTCCAAAGCAACCCACAACAGCTGCAGATATTCCAGCGTTTCGATTATTGGACGGCTACAACTCCCCATTTGTCTGATCGACGGATGACTGTAATGACCAGCCAATTCAGATCTGCTCGATTCAGCCATTAAACATCAACTAGGGAGACTTTCTGAGTTGGTGGGGACTGTCAATGCTACGCCTGTGGTTGGTACGTAGTATAAAGACCGGTACTGGGAAGTGAGCGACAGAGTTGTTGCTTGAATGTATTAGTTCGGATTGTTGGTCACATTGTAGGTAGGCGTTTGTAATTGATCTGGCTCACATTCAAGACTGATGAGCTGACCATATTGACTGATGGGTGAACAATGTACACAAGTCCATTTGTCGTCACAGGAAGTGAAGCAAGGACGCTCTCCAGGACACCAATGGAGAAGCTCACGAAAGCAAGGCTAACGAAAGAATGGCGTTCAATCACCAACACGGCAAGCAAATAACACTGAATATGTACCTTGTGAAGAGCTGACCCACGACGAGTGTCTGGCGGCGTGTTCAGATACGAGAGCCTGCGAATTCCGACTATTCAAGAACAGAGTCAAAAATCGGCCAAGGTTCAGAATCATCCAAATCAATTACCAACCCCGCACGTACGAAACTGGTAAAGTATGGGGTATTGGAGTGGGCTGAGTTTCTCGTATATGGTCAGACCATAATGGTTTCGCCGGTAGCCCGGACAGGACCGGCGCTCCCACAACGACCACAACAGTTGAGTTACAAGTGAAATTTAACGGGCCGACATATGTCGTTGAGGCATTGAAAGCCATGTCTTGCATCGCGACATACATCTGATTTGCGAGGTACCACTACCAGTGGTAGCATCTTGTATAATGTCCGCATTAGTAAGAATCTTACACAGTGCTGGCCTCACGAAGGCCCCTCAGAGATTCTCACCACTCGCAAATCCAGTGGCTCCACACGCTGGAATCTCAGAGCACAGAGAAACTTGTCGGTGGCAACAGAGACAGTGCCACCGGTTTGGCAGAAATATTCATGAATGGAAACCCCCCCCCCCCCCCCCCCCATTGGTCGCAATTGCTGGTTCCGAGTTCGAAAACGCTCTCCTGGGACTGTTTCCGGTGATTGCAAGTAAAGCTCTCTGAATCCCGGCTAGTTCAGCAGTTACTGAAATGAAAAATGGGGAAAAGTCAGCAATCATGGGTTGCTAAGTAGTTTCATAAAAGACGGTATTTTCGCACCATTTCCTACAACACGATTAATCAACGAGGT